CCCCATCCCTGAATTTTATCCCACTTTGGAGACAGGATTCAATGAGTGTTACCCCATACTTTGGAAGTGGATGTTGCTAGGAAGCTTCCTCATGTTCACATTCAATGTATTATGTATTTTCCCCTTCCCCTCTCCCTATATAACTCAGGCCATATGGCCATTGTAACACATCTTTGAATATTGAAAACCATTTACTCTTTGAGTATTATTAAAATAGTGTGATGCTATTTTAGCCAAATTCCTAATTCTATATCTTAAGAGTGGTTATCTTAAGTGTGAGTTTTAGGTTCTAGATATTTGATTAAGTGTGTAATATCTTAATTGAATTCTAGATTCAAACCCCAAGTTAGGACAAGAGTGTGTAATATCTCCTAACACCAACTTGGTTTTATCCATCCGTGATATTTCTTCCATTTCATATCCCTCCATTTCTCCTTCTTAATCCTATTCTTTTTTCTTCCATAAAATACCAAAAAAGAACTCCTAAAACACCCTCCATACTTTCGCCCACTATTTCCCTTCCATTTTCCTCCGCACATTCACCACTAAATTATCAACTTGATGAGACCCCCGGTTTACCCCTAACACAATTGTACATAGATACAATTCATGAATGAACTCCTACGTCATAGTTTATAACAACTATAACCCAGTTGGATCTGTTGGGAAATTAAACACACAGCACACACAAATAATCTGCGAGAAACGAGAGAAACGGAACACGGACGACACACAAGAATTTAACGTTGTTCGATTTCCCTACTCCACTGCTGCAATTGGAGGATTTTCTATTCACTTGTCGAGTCTCATCGATTACAAGTACAAGGGCTCAATATATAGGAGAAAAAAAACTAGGGTTACATAACATGGGTCGGCCAATAAGTCAAGCCCAAGCCTCCACAAACCCAACATTCTCCCACTTGGAGGCTTGATAATCATTAACTGACATCCGCCACGATTGCTTGTACCTCGAGTAATCTTCCTCAGCTCTCCTGTTGCAGCGGCCCTCTCATCAGACAACTGAAAGGCCCGTCGAAACTCTCCAAAGCACCAACACATCAGTCACGGCCAAATCTGCCCCTGACTCGTCCTCGGTCCCAACCGGCTCCCACTGCAAACGCACACTGCCGGATCCTAGAACATCTTGAGAACATACACTCTCCATACTCCACAAGAAATTTTCTGGAGATGTTCCAACAGCTGGAATACTGGTTCTCTTGACCCACTGTCTTCTAGGAAACTTGGCTGAAGCGCCTCTTGAGCTCCCACTGTCATAAATACCTCTGGCTAGCCTTCTTGACCCTTTCTTCGCTCATTCATCCTGAGTCTGACATCTTGCATAGACAACCTTATTCTGCCCACGAGACTCTGTGAACCGGACTTCATTTCTCTTCTGAACTGGGACAGTCACTCCCTCATATGGTAACTCGACCATATACAGTGAATCTCTCTTTTTTTCGCAGGCCATGACAAGGGCTCAATATATAGGAGAAAAAAATTATGGTTACATAACATGGGCAGGCCAATAAGTCAAGCCCAAGCCTCCACAAACCCAACCGGATCCCACAGGAGTAGGATGTGGGGAAGGGTGATGCAACATTACCCCTACTTGAAAGTAGAGAGGTTGTTTCCAAGAGATCCCCAGCAACTACTCCATAGTCTATAAAAAGAAGAATATTGTAGAAGTTGAAAGTCCAAATCAGGTGTACCCCTAGCACTTACACTTATGAGCATTCATTCATTTAATTTACTCTTTATAATGAAAAGCCACATTTTATAATGTAAATTACAACAACAAAAAATTCAAGGCAACTTGATCCAATCAAAAGAAGTAAATGGCCAAACCATTGCATTTGAGTTGCTTACCTTCCAGTGTGGAGGAATAGAAGGAGATTGCTGAAAGATGCTGCCTTATAAATCCCTTCTACCCGTTGTATTAACAACCATAGCCAACTTGCTATAGATCTCTACAAAAGTAAGAATAAAGAAAATTTGGTAGAGCAGAAATAAAATTAAAGCATCAGTTTCATTATCACATCCATATAAAACACACTAAGAAATAACATTAAAGCTTCACCAGGTCAACTAAACCACTCCACTCAACTGGATACAAAAACAATAATACCCACGATAATCTCAACTGTGTTGTGCTGCATTTACTACGCAAAACTTTATTTAAAAATAAAAAAGTGAAATGCAAAGGATGTTAAATGTGTCATTCTCATAAAGTCCATTACTTGCCCAAAGCCATACCATCATCAATAATGACACACTTTTGCTAGTAATGGACAGCACGAAGTGAGCTCAAAATTACGTGATCCAAAAGCTTTACTGCTTGTCCATAATACCAAAGGGCTTCTGGGATATGGCGAATATGGGACTGAAATGGGATATTTTGTTCTTAGCATCTCGCGAGCGAAGAAGAAAGTGGCAAGAAAGAATAAAGTCAAAAGGGCGAAGGACTCAACGTGGGGGGTAAAGGGGATCAAGATTCAAGATTTTCAAAATTTCATATTTGCCACTACTATGTTTTTTTTTGCTTATTTTATTTATGTTATTTTTGTATCTTTCATGTAATCAGATTAGGAAAGTAGCATTTTTCCTAAACCTTGAGTATTAGATTTCTTAGTTGTAGTAGCATTACTTAGTCATAATAATAGTAATATAATTAGTTTTCCAATTTCTACTCTTATACAGCCAAGCCTTTAGTAGTATTAGCTAGACATAGTAGAAGTAGGATTAGCATTCATACTTGAAGCGCAATACAACATAATAAGGGTATAATTACTTCTTCTATTTCTACTCTTTGTGTTTTTCTTTCTTTTAGCCTCAGGTTGCTCCTTGTTTCTTTTTTTTTGGTGCTCTGCACTTTCTATGTTACTTGAGTTGGGAGTTTCTTAGAAACACTCCCACTCTCATGCGATTCTACAAGGCTCTTGTTCTTGATTTTTGAATAAGAAAAAACCAAGATGTATTTCTTCAAACCCTTAAAGTTTTTTATCGATCATTGGTGGATTATTCCTTCAGAAGTTTGTGGTGTTACTCTTGGATTCTTTTACAAGTTTCTAAGTGGGAATGGAACTTGTTATAGCCTTGTTCTTTTTCTTATTATTGGAGTTTCAACCATATTCAACCTTTGCTTCCACATTCGCATCAAGTGGTATCAAAAGCATTCTTGGTGATTTCTTAATAAGCAACGCGTGTCATGACAGAGAAGCAACTTGCTATTTTTTTCATATTTAAAAAAGAGGAAAAATATCTCAAGCAAAAGACAAAACATGGGAGAGGAAGGATTCAAGCAACAATTTTGAGGAGACCCTTGAAGGGCTTGGGTGGGAAATATGGGGCCCTTTTTGACCGTGCATGGATGATTTTACTACCATGATCCAAAATTGGCAGATGGAAAGAAAAGCTAAAGAGAGGAATAGGGAGCCAAAGGAAAGATATGCCTTCGAAACAGGGGTGGACCCACGTTGAGTCTTACGGGGTCCCATTACTCCACGTTGAGCATAATGAAGATCGTAACATCGTAAGATCGTGACTCGGATCGTAAGATCCTACTATATATATATATATATATATATATATATATATATATATATATATATATATATATATATATATATATATATATATATATATATATATATATATATGTTTAATGTTTTAATTTAATTTTTATAAAACATAACACAAGGAGCAGAAGTAAGGGTCCCAAGTCGTGACAGAGGACTAGATGTCGCACAAGCAGAAAGAAAAGCCCAGTAGCGATTAGAAGTATATTCGCAGTAGGAGTCTCGATTTCCAAATATATAGAAGAAGATAAGCTATTTACGCTGGTTTCCAATTGAAATTGGGAATAAATAAAAGAAGATGTGCTGGTTTCCGATTGAAATTGGGAGTTGCGACAGACGCGGTTTTCCAATTGCAATTCCCGACAACTTCAAATTGCGATTGGAAGAAGATTTTGAAGCGACACTGTTTGGGCTTCTCACGATCGGCGATTGTAGGCGATCCTGCGTTTTCACGAGCCGAATCGCCGATCCAGACGATCCTATTGGATTTCGCGATTCTGCATCCGTCTCGGATCGGGAAGCTTCCCGCGATCCTCAGACTCGTACGAGGCAACTCGCGAGTTTGACTACCATGTGTGTATGTATATATATATATATACATACATATATGTGTGTGTGTGTGTGTGTAAATGTGTATATGTATGTATATATACATACATACATATATATATATGTATGTATGTATGTATATGTATATGTGTGTGTGTGTGTATGTGTGTGTGTGTATCCATATATATATATATATATATATATATATATATATATATATATATATAAAAATATATAAAATACACACACACACATATACATGCATATATATACATACATACATACATACATACATATATATATATATATAGTTCTTTTTTTTCTTTCAATTCTTTGACTCATCCTCGGCCCTCAGCGCCACAAGTCTCCGACAATTCAAGATTCAAAACACACCGCCGAAGTAGGCCAACTGCTAGGCATCGCAAGCCAACAATGCCAATTTGGACAGATCACAAAACTCTTCACTCTTCTAGTGTCAGATTCATTTATAATTAAACAATTTGTTTTCTATAGTTTGACTGAGTATGATTTTTAGTTTGTGATTGTTGGAGTTATTAATTGTTCATTTTTTGTTAGATTTAAAAATCACTACCTTTTACCAGTTTGTTTGTCTAGTTTGACTTTCTTGAGTCAAATTGGATGAACTTTGAGCTTTAAATACTCTCAATTTGTATTCGGGAAGGTTCAAGTGACATTGGAGGGCAATGTCACTTGAACCTTGGTGATTTGTATTACACATTAGTATAATGAAATAAAATTTTGAAAATTCTCAATAAGATATCTCTAATATAATCAATTTTATTCAAAAATACATTTCAGTATTATTTAATTGAAGCTCAAAGTTCATGCAATTTGACTCAAAAATGTCAAACTAGGCAAATACAATGAATGGAGGGAGTATGATTTATTCTTATGAATTTGTAACTTGTGAATTCGATTTATATTTTATAAGAATATGAGTATGTTAAAATGATTATGTTATGTTACAAATTTATAATGTTTTTGATTATTTGTATTAACGATTATGAAATAATAAATCACTTTCAAAATATGAAACTACATGTGGGGTGGTTCTTGTGACATTGCCCCTTTCAAAATATGAAACTACATGGGATGACCCAGGGGCGCTACGGTGCCCCTTTCGTATAATTGATGGTTACTACCCCCCCCCCTAACCCCCCACAGTTCCTACCCTCCTAACCCCCCCCCCCCCTTCAATTGCACCCCCAAGTTAATTTTGACTTATGAGTCAAAATTTGACTCTAGAGTCAAAATTAACTTGGGGGTGCAATTGAAGGGGGTGGGGGTGTGTTCGGGTCGGGGCAGGGGGTTTACCATGGGAGTTACGAGGGGTAAGAACCATTAATTTTACGAGTGGGACACTGTAGAGCCACCGGGTCATCCAATATCATGGGAAGCCCTCCGCTTTTCACCTTGGTTCAAGTGACATTGAACTTCAATGTCATAGGATGACCCGGGGCACCTACGATGTTATGTTTGAAAAATTGATGGTCCCTACCCCCCTCCCTACCTCGGCCCGAATTGAACCGACCACCCCCCCCCCACCCCCTCCAATTGCACCCCACAATAGGAAAGTATCCTTTTTTTCAAAATCGTGTGATTAAAGGAATTACTAATCCTAGTAGTATTACTTAGCCATAATCATAGGGGTATAATTAGTTTCCTAACTTTAATCTTATTTGGTCAAGCATTTAGTAGTTATACATAATAGTAGGATTAACATTCAAACTTCAAGTCCAGCTCAGCCAAAGTCTTTATATAAGCATATGGCCAATATGCTTTTTTTATTGATTGTTGATTCTCGAATATAAAAAACTGTAAGAGTTTCTTCAAACCCTTAGTTCTTTATCAATCTTTGGTGGATCATTTCTTTAGAAGATTGTGGTGTTACTCTTGGATCCTTTTTTTATAGAACTTGATAAGTCTTTACTAATCTTCATCTGTTTTCTTATTCTAGATTTTATCCATATTCAACCTTAATTTTAAGATCTCATTTTTATTTGTGTTTTAAGCTTTTGCATTTGCATCATTAAGTAATATGCAACATCAAAAAACTAAAAAAACACTAAATAAAATGCAGGTTGCAGCCTCCTTTGAAAAACCAAAACAAAAGGTTTCTATAAAACATCAACAACAAAACCACTAGAAATCCTACAAAACATGGTCTAGGGAGGGTGTGTGTACACAAAACTTACTCCAACTTGGAAAGTATAGAGGTTCTTTCCAAGAGACTTGAGCTCAAAGAGAGAAGAGCATAATGAAAAAGGAAAGTAGCAAGTAACAAAGTAAGAACACATACAAAAACAAACAGAGATGCAAAAATTGCAAATGTAGGCACAAAAACACACAAGCAAATGCTACAAATTAAGGTCCAAAAGACTACCTACCACCCCAATCCCAAAGCTCTACACGATCATATCTAAGGTCATATGCTTCGTAAGATCTTGAAATCGTAAATCCTGTCTAATCACCCCTTCCAACTCTTCTTATGTCTACGTCTACCCCTCCCTATACCCCCTGCCTCAAGCTTATTGCACATCCTCACTGGCAATCTCGCATCCTTACTTCTCCTCGTCATGTGCCCAAACCATCTCAGTTTAGGTCCCCAAGGCTTAACATGCACAGAGGCTTTGGATAGCAGGACTAATATCACTTTTGTTGATATTCTTGGCATGAGGCTACTCAAGTTTATTGCAACTATGGTATGTTTTACCGAATGGTTTTAATCCATGAACATTATATTTCATTTTTCAAATCCACGCGTAGGGCATGTTTCTGCATCCACTGTAACTTTGCAAATCAAGACTTTAGACAGTAGGAGTCCATGGTTGAACTTATTATACATATTATCCTTGATAGTCAATGGCATGTTTCAGCATGCATAGTTACTTTGCAAATCAAGGCTTTAGATAGTCGCATAGTTGTGAAAAGCGCGCCTGAGGTGCGATGCGCACGAGGCGTAGGGTTCTGCCCATCTGACAGTGTGATGCAAGCGATGTACAGGAGGCGCGCGCATAACCACGCATCATTGCATTTTTCGATGCATGCGCTATAAGGCACGCATCGCGAACCCAGAGTTTTTTATTTTATTATGTTAAAACTAGGGTTGACTACTTAACTCACTTTTCACCGTTCAACTTTGCGTCTCTCTCCTTCCGCATCTTGGACTTCGGCGACTTGCGAGTCTTCCACCCTTTAACGATTGTGTTTCTTCTCTTTCACGTTAAGTCGCTTGACTTGCTTCTTACTTTTCATATTTTATTTCTCGTTTTTAAATCGATCTCAGTTTTTTAATTGCTGGGGCACTACTGCATTAGTAGCTTCTCAGATTTTCTTTTTGTTTCTTTAGCCCGCTTCAGTTTTTAAATTGCTAGACTTCCATGTTTTTTCATGCAGTTCTGTACTTTTGTTTCATCCATAAAGGAGGTATTTATTTTCATGCAGTTCTTTTTGTTACTTTTGTTTCATGTATTTTTCTTGTTTTTGCAAGTAGCTATTTTTGTTCTTGAACTTTTAGTATTTTTATTTGTCAATGGTACTATGTGTGACATTGATTCTTGGCTACTTTCTAAAATTTTATTAGGTCTTTCGAAATTGTATAAGAAATGTTTCTAATATAGATATGCTATACATTTTATAGAAATTGTTGGTAATTTAGAGGTTTTATGCTCCTTAGAGCAGCTCCAATGGAGATGCTAAAAATGGACAGCTATAAACATAGTTTAGAATATGTACAGTGATTTGGACGTTCTAATTTTCATGTGTTCCAACCATAGCTGCTATTCTCCGTCTTCCATATAAATTTAATATGCTTTATCTTTTTATTTCTTTGCTTTGTGTGGAATAAAAACCAAGTTATCATTGCTCTCTCCACTCAATTAGTTTCCGTACTTAGTTTTATTAATATTTTATTATAGCAGATAACTTTTGGTCTTTTATATATAGCATGTGTAATGTGAAAAATAGATACTTCTCTACTTTTTGAAGGACCTGTTGGAGCTCATTATTATGAATAGTAAAGTCTAAAGTCTCTATGTTTTAAACTATAAAGGCTGCCTTGGAGATGCTCTTATGTTTCAATTTGTGCCTCATGTTCGTAATGCGCGCGCATTACTTGCGCATCGCGCATCGAGGCGCTAGGGACCCTTTGTGCATAAGTCATAGTTATCACAGCATCGCCTAGGCATCGCGGCCCCCTCTCGATCTTGCCTTGATGATTCAACTCGCCTAACTTTCAATTCCTCGCCTAGGGACGACTTGGCGTCCTAGCACAGCGCCTTTTTCGACTAACGCCGTGAACATGGCACTCGAATTCCAGATATGTATCTTCAATACCGCCGATTGACTTAGGTTTTGCGATCTGAAAGGCGGAGAAGACCATACGATCGACTTAGGGTTTGCGATCTTCTCGGATCAGATGCGAGAGAGCCAAAAATTAAGATGCTAGCCGACCCAATAACCCGGCCCTTCAATTTTGACAGAATTCCCAGCGACTAACACTATTCTCGTATGACTTTTGACTTTGTATTTAGGCTTTTCAGCTTCTCTTAAATTCCCAGCCATTAGCACTTCCTATTTTCCTTTAAAATTAACCCTATATGTGTTATGTTTTACCGTATATTTTCTTTAATTAGAAGATGTCTTCCATTAGTGTTTTCATATTTTATTTTTTATTTTCTATTTTTGAAAAAACATTAATTTAATGTAATGTGTTGTAATGTGATGCAATGTGACATAATGTGATGTAATGTGATGTCATGTAATGTGATGTGATGTACATGTAATGTAATGTAATAATGTACACACACAGGAATATATATATATATATATATATATATATATATATATATATATATATATATATATATTATTTGTCACCTAATCGTCGCCTAGGCGCTCACCTAGGCGTCATGGTGATACATTGGCGCCGCGCCTTGCCTTGGCGCCGTGATAACTATGGCATCAGTGCGCATCGCGCCTTAAACAACTATGTATAGTCGAATAGTCAATGGTTGAATCCATTATACATAATATATTTGAAAGCAGCAAACATTTAGTGAAAATGAATATACCTGCTCAGAATCACCCCATCTTCGAAAAGCAGAAAAAGATTGTAACCTGGCCCGGAAATATTGTCCACCAACAGTTGCAATACAGTAGCAGATCTTTTGTGCAACAGTAAGTCCGGGTCCCTCCAATCCAGTTCGGACTAAATGATAAATAAGGGTATATATGTAAATTAGTATATCAACATTACTACACCATTTGGGATTGGTGTCAAAAAGAGCTAAATTTGTCCTAAGACTCCTAACACAATACCAAGCAAATTATAGTTTTGTCCAAATCTGTATCTGAAACACCAAAAGCCATGGTAAAGCAAGAGTTAGTCCATGATGTCTTTTGCATTTTTGGATTTGCATTTAAAGTATAAAAAAATCCTTTTAGGCCATTTAAATTTTGCAGAGCACTTTTAGACCTCAATGTCACCCACTTATAACTAGACAGGCAAATGGGTCATATGGGTCATGCACGGGTTGGGTGTACTCGGGGTTGGGTGAAATTTAGGTCAACAGGTTCTGGTTGGGTTAAATATGGTTGGTTCAAATTCAGTCAATGCACTTCAGTTTGGGTTGCGTCAAGTTTGGGTGAAGCTTGGTCAAGTTGGTTCGAGTACGGGTCAAATCAATTTTGGGTAGGTTTGGATTAACACTTCACGCCACGTCGATTTGAATGTGTTTTAAGGTCATTTTTGGGATGTGACGAATCAGGTAAACTTTCAATTAGGTTACTTTTTTAGATGATTTAAAAATAAATTCTAATTTTCCACAGTTTGATGATGTTCGCTAAAGTTGATAAAGGCCTTGTTTGGGAATAGCATTTTCAAATGGCATTAGCGTTTTGGATTCAATTTTAATGGTGTAGATTAATTTTGAAAAAGCTACCGCTAAACATTGCTGTTAGATAGCCTTTTCAAAAGGCTAACGCTAAACACTAAAGTTGTTCACAAACACACCAAAAAACAAGTTTAAAATATATTTTTAGTTTTGTCATTACGATTCATGAATGTGTCATTCTGTTTTATCCAATCTTATATTTCACTTTTAATTCAAAACACGAGTAAACTATAAACAACAACCCGGTTTAATCCCACGAGTAATGTCATATCGCTCATGTTCGTTGATATCTATTTGCTAGTACATAGTCCATTGCATATTTTATAATTTCCTACATAAAAATAATAAAATTTCAAGGAAACTGCCAGAGTATTTAATAAAATTTTGGGAGATCTCTTATGCTTGAAGGACGTGGTCAATATCACTTACACCTGCTGATGGGTTTTAAATCGTACCAATCAAGAGTTTTTTTCAATTATTATAAAGATTTTTTACTAAAGGTGACTTTTGGTAATAGGTTTTTACCTTTTCCTTGCATCTCAAAAGCACGCTCATCTCTATACCGCAAATTCATTAGAGCATTGCCGGGAGTAGGTTTATCAACCCAGATAGAAAACAACCAAATCAGAAACTCGAGGAAAGCATCAAGTTCTGGCTCATATTGAAACAACATTCCTGGCTAATGTCAAAGAAGTGGCAAAGTAATTAAAAACCTACCAAAGCATTCTTAAATTCCTTCTTAGTTTGTTTGTAGAAATAGTTCTTCATGCAACCAAATAATCAAGGGGAACCATATGATGGACAGTGTACCTTCATCAAAGAAAAGACTTTCACCAACTGCTCCTTTAACATGGCTGACATTTCAACATCTAGTCTCGCTGCATCAATCTGATTTACTCTCGATATTGCAATTGGAATAGTTGACTGCCAATCAAAAGAAAGCAGAAATGAATTATCATTCATATCTAGGAGTGGAATATAATGCACATAAAGACTATAAACCACCACCAAGACCATGTCTTAATAACAAAAATATGTTCTATGGCTCTTGACTACAGAACACGACTTAAATAAAAACTTACATAAATTTTTAAAAACACCTTGAATTAAAAAATATTCAAGGTACAAAAGCACAACTTCTTACTACAAAACACTATATAATTACCATAGTTTGTAAGGCGTTGCCTAGGCGATAAGGCGTTGTCACTGGGACGCCTTGTTTGCTCGCCTCGCCTAGAAAATCTTAAGGCGACCAGGCGTCGCCTTACCTCGCCTTACCTCGCCTTGATGCCTTGGGCCCATTTAAAATTTTGAAAAAACCCATTTTTTTAGTGCAGCCCATTTTCTTTTAGTGTAGCCTAATAGACTTAAACTTTTCTTCTCTCTCGGTCTTCTTTGTCTCAATCAAGCTATCTTAAAATGTATAAGACTTATATATATATATATATATATATATATATATATATATTTGTCTCCTAGGCGATATGAAGGTACATTGGCGCCTCGCCTCGCCTTGGCGCCTTACAAACTATGATAATTACAAGTGTTGCCTACCATATTTCTGTGTTTAAACCAAAGAAAATACTCCGTGTAGATATAAGAATACAGCTAATAACTGCTAAACACAATCCATTAATAGTAATTACTTCAACTGGGTTAAAAATAACAAAAGAATGCATGGGAGAAGCCGGTGCCTGATGGAAATACCTTTTGAGTTGGAGTTTTTTGCCAGTGACGGGCTAATTTTCGGTAGGTATCAATCCAAGCATCTTCCGGTGGTGGCGGAATTGTGAGGACGGCACCCCTACCAGTTTGGAAGGACCCTGATGAAGCTAGGGTTTCTCTAGCCATTTCTACTACTAGATATGTTCGCACGGCCAATACTTTTTTCGAAAATAATACAATGCCTGCAATTGTTTACTATCTCAAACAACATAGATGAAACTTCAATCACTACAAAAAAAGGAGGCAATACCGACAGGGGTAAATATGTTGCTAAAGGTTGGCTTTTACCAACAGATATTTGTTTGTCGCTACGATGTCGCTAAAAACTCTATGAGTAAAAGTATTACCGACAGATTAAATATATTGTCGCTGAAGTAGTATAACAGCGACAAAATAAAGATATCGCTAAAAAGGGGAGAAGTACCGACAAAACATATATGCGTTAAAACATGGATTACCGACAAAAAATAGTGAGGGTAAAATGTTCTTTTCTGTCGGCAATAGCTTGTCTTTACCAACATTAACTTTTATTATAGCTGTCGCTAAAACTTGGATTACCCACAAAAAATAGTGTGGGTAAAACCTTCTTTTCTGTCGATAATAGCTTGTTTGAATCAACATTAACATTTATCATAACTGTCGCTAATGCAATGTTTTCACACCAACATGCTCTATTTCACTTTCAAAGGGATATCAACGTATTTCATTGACAAATAAAATATAAAATTCATACTTGTATTAACAACAAAACATAATACGATAACATTTCAAGGGTTACAACTAACCCATATACGAAATCATATCCTTGTTGGGTTAATTTCCAAATTTGATTCATCACTGGCGTATAATTATCTTTATTAAAAGAATATTGATCATAGCATTGGCATCTACAATATGCTTCATGCATAGTAAAGGTGCTGTTTTCAAAATGATGAACGCACTGATTGATAACATGCTTAGTAATTACTAATTCCCCCCACTCAACAATACAAAAAGGGAAGTCCTATAGAAATTTAAAGCTGGAAATCTTAATAATGTACAACAAATAAACCAACAAATAAACCAGCAAAGGGAAGTCCTATAGAAATCTATATTTGATTTTTGAGTTGTTCTTTCAAGCTCCTATAGAATTTTATGCAAAAGAATTCTAAATTTACAAGCAACTCACTGGAATAATTCTACATAAGCCAAGTAAAGCAATGTTATCACCAATAATCACATATGATACATTAGCCAAATAAAGCAATGTTATCTCTGATTATAAGCAAAATAAGCCAAATAAAGCAATGTTATCTCTGTTTATAAGCCAAATAAAACAATGTTAACTCTGTTCATAAGCCAAATAAAGCTACTGAATGGGGCAAGACTAATCACCAACACATATGCTACATATATGATGATATGAGATGTGACTTTGTTACCAGTCCTGTTCCGGCAATTGGAAAGAGTCGGTGATGCCGAAACCCTGGTTGAGGTTGAGATAGAGGTGGTGATGCACGGAAAATCTCGCCGGAAACCGCTGGTCCTATTCCGACGATCCAAAAACCCTAGGTCGCGCAAACTCTTCTCTGCAAGTATTCCTGCGTCTGTCCGTGAAATCGCCGGAGACTGGCTCTGCTCGCAGGCCGATGCAAGCCGTTGCCGGTCGGTGCTTTGATTGCAGAGAAGATTGGTCTCGGCGGAAGAGAAGCAGAGACCGAGGAGTGGGTGGGGGCTCCGTTAAATCTAAAAAGTTACGGAGTATTAAATCCAAGGGCAGAGATTTAAAATGTCGTACCATGACATTTAAGGTAAATGTCAGTGTTGAACGGCGGTGTATTATTTTTTAGAGGGATGCTATACACCATCAACTTTTTTATCACTCATTTTTATTTATTTATTTTTTCTTTAATTTATTTGTTAATATATGTGGTATTGGAGGGGTGGTGTGCATTTAGGATATACTTTTGGGTGGATCCTAGCATTTTTCTATTTTTTACTCTATACCCATGTACCATTTGGAGGCATCTAACCTTTTTCTACATTTTTATCTCTCTACTCTAGGAATATTAAATTACTCAACTTTAAAGCTCGAATTGGTACAGGAAATTGGATTGAATTTAAAAAACAAAATTTAGCATTTATTTTTAGAATTTTTAAATTTTAGTTTTTAGTTTTTGTTTTTAAATTTTTAATTTTAAATTTTTGAAGCATGATGAGCGCAAGAGCAAATTGAAACATTTTGGGCTCCCTTGTTGTTAGGGCCATGATGTTCGCTACGAGTGTCTGATTACGGCGAGCTACCCTTTTTCGAAAAGCTCTCAGCAAGACGTTAAGGGTCCGTCTTTGACCCTAAATTTTATCGTTTAGCCTATTTAAATTGCAATTTTGGTTTTTTAACCAAATGCACATCATATTAATCTATTAGAATCATGAAGTTTTTACACACAATTGTGTATTTGGTTGAAATTATATAAAATTAAATTTAATAGAGTCAAATATAATTAATTTTACACGTAAATGTAAGGGTGTAGATCAAATTTGAAAATGATAAGACTAAATGCTGCCGCTAGAGAGTCTTTTCAAAATACTAATACTAACATCTAAAATTATTGACTAATATTGAATAAGTGGTTTGGAACTAATCAAATTAACTCCTAGACCAATAAAATTTATTGTAATTAGATGAAATTAGGATAAAATCTAGTTATTCCATACAAGTCATCATATAACCCTTTTGTCCCAAAAAAGAATATCACACATTCACACTTCATTATTTAAAAATTACGGAAATTTTATTTGTTTATGTGTTATCATTTATTATTTGATAAAATAAACTGTTATTCTTGTAACATCTCATTTTGTAAAATTTTTGACGTATTTTTTGAATATATAGACATATTTTTTTTTAATTAAGCTAGGGGTACACCAACATGGGGTACCCCTAGTATTGCCCATTTTTTTTCTCTAACAATCTTTAAATAAAATAAATTTTAAAAACTAAATTTTTTTACTTTGTTTTGCGTTATGTAGCATTCTTTCTAAGACGAAGGGAGTTTTTTCTTAAAAATAAGATTGTTTTAATTAGATTTTGTAACTTAAGACTGAAGTCAGTACTATATTTTTGATATAATATCTAATCAAAGACTTAATTTTTTATCAATTTTCATATACTCAAAATTTTCCTCATTCCTTTTCACTTTTCATGTTTAATCTTATCAATTTTCTTATGCCACCATTCAACTCATTTCTCAATTTCAATTCAGCTTCAACTTTTAGACCTATTTTTTTCAATTGATGCTTCACTTTGTTTTTCAAATATTTTATTCCTTTAATTTTGTTAATAACAAAATAGTTGACTTACTTTATTTATCCAAAATTTTATTTGTATAACTTATCTTCAATTTCTAAATATAATAAATTTAAGGCATGAGATCTTGTAATTTTTTTCAAAATGATAATCCATTTTATGAGAGAATGAGTAAGTAATCTAATTAGTTTAAATGGTAAAATAAAAGTAAAAATTTAAAAATATAATTTGCTTATTGAAAGGCAAACATAGTTCCGTATTTATCATTTTAGTTCTAATCGGGTTCGTATATTATCGATTTCGGATCTAATTAGTTTTGGGTTTTATCGGTTTCCGGTACTATCGGTTTCGGATCTAATCGGTTTCGGCTTTGATCGGTTCGGATATTATCGATGTCGGATCTAGTCGGTTTGGATTTAAATCAGATATAAATTATTTAGTACGGTTTCGGTTCGATTCGGATCATTTAGGGTTTTCATTTATAGATCGGATCTTTATTTTTTGGATCATTTCGGTTTCAGTTTTGAATAATTCAGTTCGGGTAATCGGTTACGATTCTATTTTGCTAGATCTAACTCAAACTCTCTTTTTAGACAAAATGCTACCAATTCAAGAGGGATTGCGAGAATCATTCCTTTCCTTCTGTTTTCCCATCAAACCAAAACACACCAACTGCACCACTATTGAAAGGAAACTCAACCTTGGAGAATGGAGACTCATTATTTTATTATTATAATCATTATAAAAAATATTATTTTTAAGAAAAACCAAAAACTATGTTGTTTGAATCTAAAAAATAATCAAAGATATATGGGAACTAATCTTTGAGCAGACATTTACAGGAAACATTATCTTAAATAAATCCACCTTTTCATGTATTTTCATAAATAATCTCACTTTTCACTGTTACTTAACATAATTTTTGGAAAATACCTGTGTTTCACAAATAAATGAAAGCTGAGATTATTGTGGGAAAATTTTTGGAAAATGCTTGTTTTTAATTTTAACATTTATTTTTTAAAAAAATATATAACATTACACTCTTGTTTGAGATTTGTCTCAATTTATTTCAAAAGATATAACTATTTACAATTTTTTTTATATTCTCGGGGAAATATAATATTGAATTATCAAAAAATAATTCAAAGTATCACTCTAGAAAAAAATTGCAATACAAAAAAATTGCAGTGAGTTATAAAATTTATTAGTGCCGTTTTGGGAAAAAATATTGTGTCATTTTCACAACTTTTGAATTATTATTTTGGGGAAACATTTGTACTATATTATCGAAAAAAATCACAAGTTGGGTAGTTCCATTTTAGAAAAAACAATACAGGTAATAGAAGATTATCAATAAACATTTTGGAGTGTTGTTAATGAAAAAAATTACAATGCAACAAAAAATGTAGTAAGTTATTAAAATAAAAGTTTCATTTCAAGGAAATAAATTATTGTGTTATTTTCAAAATTTTTGTAATGTGTTTTTTGCAAAAAAAACATTTATATAGAATTTAAAAAAAATATTCACAAGTTTTGTAGTGCCATTTTAAAAAAATTATAATAGTGTATCCAAAAACAATTCGGAGTGAGTTATTACAACTTTAAAAAAATTTAGTGAGTCATGAAGTAAATATATTAGCTCCATTATGTAGAATACTTTATTGTTCAATTATTATCCGATTATCAATTATTAAAAAGTCATTAGTTTCACTCTAAAAACACTTAAATTTGGTGGATTATTATTTATAAAAACATTTTAAAAAGTACATTTAAACTTAATGTTAGAAATTAAGAAAACAAAAAAAAGAAAATTTACCTAAAATAATATCACCTTTCATTTATTTGTGAAAAACAGGAATTTTCCAAAAATTCTGTTAATTGGTGGCTAGTTTTTTAATGATCCAAACTCACATACATGCGAAAAGATGAGATTATTTCAGCTGACAGTGAAAAATGAGATTATTTAAAAGATTGGTTTGTATTAGTTGTATAGATGAATCATTCTTATTGGTAACGAATTACAAGCAGAAAGCATAAATAATTCACGGTTAATGCCATCAAATTTTCATCTGTAGCTAAAGTTTTATTTTAAATTATGAAGATGGAGTTAATACTCATTTTGGTCTCACGACTCATTTTGGACCCTGTAAGTTCACTTGTGTCAAATTAATCCTTATATATGGAAAAAATGAATCAAGTTAGTCCTTCAAATGGAATGTACGGAGTATGTCTTAAAATTCTCAGTCATCACATTAATTGACACAAGAACAATGATCCCGTGCATTAGTTTTTTTATCCATTAACGTGTTAACTTTGAATTTTGAAAGATAAACTTTGCATGAAGAACTAATTTAATCATATTTCCTAGTTACATCACATGGAATAATTTGATTAAAGTGAACTTACAAGGACCAAATTAACTCGTGAGTGCACTTACAGGGACTAAAACTTGTATTAACTCTATGAAGATGATTTGGAACTCAAAATCATGAAATAAAATAGAAGAAATCAACAATAAAATTCAGATGCATACCTCTGACCATAGTTTTGAAAACTGGACCGGACCGGCCGATTCGAATCGGGCAATCAGACCGGCTTCAGCAACGAACCGGTAGAAACCTGTTAAAACCGGAGAAAACCGGCCGGAACCGATTTTTTTAATATTTTGTACCCAAGACCACATGATAGAAAGGGCCATGCTTCTAACCATCTGTGCTACAATGTTTGGTGTTAACTCGTTGTTATTTGTCTTTAATATTCTTTAACCTCAAAATTCTTTATCAAATACTTTTAAAAAATATAGAATTTTTTAAACTAAAATTCAAAACCCATTGATATAATTGAGATGAAGTGCATATCACACAAAAACTATATATATATATATATATATATATATATATATATATATAAATTAATTTATTTATTAAAGATGTTTGAACCACTAGTTCAATCACTCGAACCACTAGTTCGACCAGTGAAGGTGTCTTGACCGGTTCGATCACCGGTTCGGTTTTGAAAACTATGTGACGATTAGGAGTGAAAAAGTGACATCCTCCGTCTCCCTCTTCCTTTATGTTGGGAAAATCACCTCAATTTTCTAGCGGAAGCAATAAATAATTTTCCCGTCTTTGTGTTGTCAAAATGGGCAAAATCATATGACCAATCAAGAATAGCAAACACAACGACAAGCAATCAATCAAGCGATAAACGAACATCAAGATTTAACGTGGAAACCCCAAATCGGGGAGAAAACCACGAAGCCTTCCACTAATCACCAAGAAAATCAGTGGGTACACCAAGAATCCTCTCTGAATCAATTAGAGGTACACACAATCATCAAGTAATAACTTGGAACACCAAACAACAATAATCTTCACTCAAAAGTGAGAAAACCCCAATAAAAACGCAGCAGTAAACAGAGGCGATTTTACCGACATCGAGAGGTCAAAACAACAATCCCACCGTTGGATATGAAGAAGAGGATCTCAGGAACAACATACTAAAATTTCATCCTGATCGGAGCTCGTTTAGTCGTCGATCGGAGCACAAAACCAGGCTGCACCTCTCTTTTCCTCTCTTCTTCCTTCTCTCGGCTTCACCCTCTTTTTTTTCTCTCTCTGTTTCTGCGCTGTTCGGCTACTCAATTCTGTCAGTGACCTACTGCCCGTGTCAAGTAGCCAAAAGGCTTTTGCCTTTACAATAAAGTGGCATTCCCACTCTGACTATTCCCTTTCCTTTTTTTCTTTTATAATAATAATAAAAATTATTATTATTATTATTATACTACTCTACCTCTAAACAAATTATATTTTTAACATTAAATGTATTGTTTAGGAATTCCTTCCTCCATGTAAGAGGGATACCCCTACACTTTATGATGTTGGTCCAATGTCTCTCCCAATTCTTTTCTCACACACGCATATCACCCTTTTGTTTTACTTGCACTTGAAAACTACTCTGTAATATGGCCAACTAATTCTAATTACGGGGAGTATCATTTTGTCTAGTTAGTGGATTAAACCGTACCTTTTGCTAAAGAAAGAAATTACCGAGGATCAAGTAAAATTATCCGTTGAAAATGAATTTGAATTTTAAAGCTAATTACCAGTATCCGATTTTAAAGATTAATCTCAGGTACTTTATAATTTTTTATGTTTATATTTTGTTTCTCTATTGATATCATAGGTGAAGTTCACCTATGATAAGTTGGTCAAACTTTTCGCTGAGAAGCGAACAAATGAATATGTATGACAGCAATCTGGGTGCAATTTTCCTATGAATGTGTGGAAACATATTAGAAAAAATGAAGAAAATATGCTTTATTGTCGTGTTGTGCGGCACCACGCACAAGAAGGGATATACTCTGTAGTGGTGGATGGGTCGTCCTACATTGCTCAGCGGGAGACATTTACGGTGAACTTAAATGCACGAACATGTAGCTGTGGTCAATGGGCAACATTTCACCTACCGTGCAGTCATGTCCATGCAGTATGTCATTACTGTAGTGTCACCGTAGATCATTTGATTCCAAATGTTTTTTCAATTCAATCCTACATCAAGGCTTACTCTGGCATTATAATGCCGCTACCAGATGAGTCTGAATGACCTACTCCTGAGTACGAGATACTGAGGCCAACACCACGACAGACCACACGAACCGACCGATCTACGAGAACCCGCTATCCGAATAACATGTACTATTGACCACGGAGACATCGCAACGAGGAATAGCTATGTCATGAATTTCAATTATGTATGAGCTTATGTATTATTAAATTTTACAAATAAGTTAATCATGGATTGTGTTTAGGCTTTTTCTTTTTTTTTTAATAAATTGTTATATGTACTCTAGCAATAAATTTATTGTATTTTGTCTTCTTCTTTTAATCTCGTTATATAAGTATCAATTAAAGTCACTAAATCGTATTTTTTTTAAAAAATTTTTATAATTTATTTTTTACATCTTCTTTATGTATGTTTCCTTTATCTTGTAATTAATTTAGTTTCTTATAAATAATTTATAAGTAAAAAAAGTTAATTGGTTTCATTCAAAAACAAAAAAATTAAAATTTTTTAAAATACAGTTAGAAAACTTTAAAAAAAAGTTTATCAAAGTGGAGGTAATTTGTTAAAAAAGTTATAAAAGTGGAGTTAAAATAACTAAAAAAGTTTAAAAGAAAAAAATAAATTGGAACAAACAACAATGAGCTCCATGCATTAAGAAAAATTATTTAAAAAAATAATATTAGTGAAACGGATTAGGCTAATCCGTTTAATAATTAAATAAGTGAAACGGATTAGCCTAATTCGTTTAGAAAAATATTAACCTCCAAAACGGAGTAGCCAACTCCGATTGGTATTATTGGGGAAAATGTATTTTCAAAGTGCATATGAATGCTATGCGTGTATTTTACACTGATGGGGAATTCACTCTTTGTTTTACTTACCACCTGAAAACTACTTTGTAGTCTGTAATATGGCCAACTAAAATTCTATTTAGGGGGAGTATCATTTTGTCTAGTTAGTGTATTAAACCGTACCTTTTGCTAAAGAAATTAGGGAGTATCAAGTAAAATTATCCGTATTAAACTTTATTTTTTGAGTTAATTTGTTTGGAAGAAGGGTTCATTCAGCCTTCACGCATCCTCATCCCCCTGTAGACTCTTCACTCTTCATTTGCTTTCCAACTTCTTCCTCTGATTATTTGATTCATTTTCCCCTTTTTTTCACAACATCTTCCGGTGATTTCTGAAACTTCCTGCCGCCTTCTGATTTCTCACATTTCGAATCCTGCCAACAATTTCTTTACACGGCAATCGAAGATGAGTTCTGGAATCAAATCTGCAAAACCCTCGAGACCTCCGAATCCAGCGAGCACAGCGCCTTCAAGATCGTCAACTTCTTCATTATCTTCCCACTTGGCAATGGTGGAACTCAAGCAGCGAATCCTTATATCTCTTTCCAAGCTCTCTGACCGCGACACACACCAGATAGCCGTGGAAGACCTCGAGAAGATCATCCAGACTCTCTCCCATGACGGAGTCCCTATGTTTCTAAACTGTCTCTACGATGCCGCCAATGATTCCAAGCCTGCCGTCAAGAAGGAGAGCCTCCAGCTCCTGGCTGCCCTCTGTGCTGCCCACAGCGATTACACGGCTACTCATTTGACTAAAATCATTGCTCACATAGTGAAGAGGCTGAAGGATCCGGATTCGGCCGTCAGGGACGCGTGCCGTGATGCCATTGGCTCGCTTTCCTCATTGTACCTCAAGGGGGAGGCTGAGACAGGTGGGCTTGGATCAGTGGTCTCCCTGTTTGTGAAGCCTCTTTTCGAGGCTATGGGCGAGAATAACAAGACTGTGCAAGGTGGAGCTGCAATGTGTATGGCTAAAATGGTGGATTGTGCCTCCAACCCGCCTGTTGCAGCTTTTCAGAAGCTTTGTCCACGGATCTGCAAGTACCTTAATAGTCCCAATTTCATGGCAAAAGCTTCACTTCTGTTTGTTGTGTCAAGCTTATCTCAGGCAAGTTCTGTCACTGTTTGTCATATGTAACACGTTGCTAGCATGTTAAATCAATGCTGTTTGTTCCAATTTATTTGTTATTTGTATTTGAATTGATGTTACATTTGACTCTGTGAATTCTGGGTTACTGTATGGAAAAAATGCTGAATTGAGCTAATGCTACCAAGGAGTACATTATTTATAGGTTGCATCTGAAAACTATGCAGGATCAAGTAAATGATACTCTGCAGTATATTCTAATACGCAGCAGCATCTCAAAACTATGCTGAATCTTGTGAATGTTACCAAGGACTTAATTCTGATCTTGCTAGTTATTCTACTTCCTTTTACAGACCTAATAATACTTCGCATCAATTAAGGTGCAAAGTTTAGTTTTGACTAAGTAATAGTGTCATTTCTAATATGGGTGTAGGTTGGAGCCATTGCAGCACAAAATTTTGAGTCATTGTTACGGAGCTTACAAGAATGCATTAGCAGTTCAGAGTGGGCAACACGTAAGGCTGCAGCTGATACTTTAACTGTCCTGGCATTGCATTCGAGCAACTTAGTAACTGAGGAAGCTGCTTCAGTATTGGCCGTGCTTGAAGCATCTCGGTTTGACAAGGTACCCCACAACAACAATTCTGTATTGGAGGATGTTGACACTTACTCTTTATATTTCACCGACTCATTTTACCATGTCTTTTATTATCTTCTTCTATATTGAATTTAATGCTGTGATTTCCAAAGCAAAAATTTCTCTTAGTAGTATTAATTGTTGGCTTGTTGTTTGTTATGTAATGAGTGGCAACATTTATACTCTGTATATTTCAATTTGGAGCATACTGCAAACACATGAAATACTAATCCACTTCAATTTCTCTTTGCACGGGAACAATGACTATCTAAATCTCTGCCATTCTCACATTGATAACTTGATAATTCAATAATTTCATGAGAGAAATATTTATATCATGTCTAATTTCATCTGTGCCCTTGGCAACTTGTTTATCAAACTATAGTGACTTGAGTGTTTTTTTTCCAGATAAAGCCTGTTAGAGATAGTATGTCGGAGGCCTTGCAGCTGTGGAAAAAAATTGCAGGAAAAGGAAACATAGTAGTGCATGATCCAAAATCTAAATCTCATGGTAGTGAAGGCACTATATTTTTTTCCCCCATTTTTCTTTGTTTCTGTTTTTGTTAGTCTTTTTTTCATTTAGTGCTACACAAAAACTTGCCTATCTTAATCTGCTCAAACTAATTAACATTTTTTTGAATCTCATCTACTAACCTTCTATATTTATTTAATCTTTTAGATGGTGAAATTTCTGAATCAGCTGATTCATCAAAGAGTAAGGAGCCTCAAAATCATGAGAAGCAGGAGACAGTGGTTAACGATGCTTCCAGCAAACGTTCTCCAAGTGATTCGTTTTCGAAACCCAAGGGTGGAAACATCTCTGAAAAAACTGTTGGGATATTAAAGAAAAAAGTTCCAACTCTGACTGATAAGGTATGGAACCAAGAATTTTTCCAAAAACTTGAAACAAGGGGTTCAGGTGATTTGACTGTTGAAGTTGTTGTCCCACGCCGTTGCCTTAATACTCCCAATGTACAAAATGAGGAAGGAGATGTGCCCAGTGATGCAGCCAATGAAAGAACAAGAGGAAACTGCCAGGCAAATGAGAAATATAATAATGAAGACAAAGTCATTTCTGGAGGGAGTTTTACAGAGCAAGATAGAGTTAATGAGGTTGATTTAAGCCAAAGGGAGCAGGCGAGCAGTCATGCCGGACTTTCTAAAGGTGCTGCACAGTCAGAGGGGTTTCTAAATAACAAAGGAAACTGGCTAGCCATTCAAAGGCAATTATTGCAACTTGAGAGGCAACAGACTCATCTCATGAGCATGTTGCAGGTATGGTCATTTATTCAGCTTCTTCTGAAAAAGATACATGAATGTTTTTCTCACACATAGTTTTTAGTGCAGGATTTCATGGGCGGATCTCATGATAGCATGATCACTCTAGAAAATAGGGTGCGTGGTCTCGAAAGAGTTGTTGAAGAGATGGCACAAGATTTATCAATATCTTCAGGTCGAAGAGGTAGTAATTATATTACTGGATTTGACGGATCATCAACTAACAGGCGTATGTTAGTTGGTGGCGGAAAATTGGTGACGGGTAGTGATGGGCGCATTCATTTTGGGGAAAGGTTTGCACAATCTGATGGCATGCCTTCAGGGATAAGGGGAAGGGGTCCGCATTGGAGAACGGAAGCGAATGATGGTTGGGACTTCCATACATATGGTAAGAATGCGTATATGGGCTGTAGAAGAGCTGTGGCTAGTGCTTCCTACGATGGCAGATCTCCTAAATCTGAAAGTGAGACAGATCAGGCGGGAAGCAGAAGAGCCTGGGACAAAGGAGCTCTACCTTTTGGGTTTGGTGAGGGGCCTTCTGCTAGAAGTGTCTGGCGAGCCTCAAAGGACGAAGCGACTCTGCAAGCAATACGTGTTGCTGGGGATGATAGTAGATCTGCTCGAGGTGCTAGAGTTGCTGTTCCAGAATTAACGGCCGAAGCTTTAGGTGATGGTAACAATGTCCATGAACGCGATCCGGTCTGGACTTCTTGGAGTAATGCCATGGAAGCACTTCTTGTGGGAGATGTAGATTCAGCTTTTGCTGAAGTTTTATCTACCGAAGATGATGTCCTCCTTGTAAAGCTAATGGAGAGATCGGGTCCTGTGATGGACCAGCTGTCTAATGATGTAGTAAGTGAGGTCTTGCATGCAGTTACTCAGTTTCTGATGGAACAAAACTTGTTGTACATTGGCTTATCTTGGGTTCAGCAGGTATATATTTTGCTCACCATTCCTACCACTTTCTCTGATTTTTCCATGGCATGATTCATTCCTTGCTTCCCTTCTGCCTGAATAAGTGTATTTTATTTACCAAAAGATATATGAAGTATAACTTTGCTTACATTCCAATTGCCAAATTAAGATTCGCAAAATTACTAATAGAGCAGAAACTCCACAATAATCGTCTCACATTTTAGTACATACAAATTTAATACTCTGTATAGTAGTAACAACCATAGTTTGTTTCCTCTAAGTTTCAATTTAAAGACATCTTTAAACAGGTAGTAGGAGTTGAATGTACCTTCCTTGCATCCCTTCTTCCTGTATAAGTGTATTTCAATTACTACAAGATATATAACTTTGCTAATATTCCAATCGGCAGGTTAAGATTTGCATAATTGTGTAATAGTGCAGAAACTCCACAATAATCATCACACATACATTTTAGTTTTAACACATACAAACTGAATACAACAATAACAACCATAGTAGAACAATTCACATTTTGCTTCCTCTTGAGTTTCAACCTAAAAAACGTATTGAAACATGTAGTAGGAGTTCAATGTGCTATTAGCACATTAAACACTTTTGGAGCCTACGTGCCTTGTTTGTCCAACACTGTGCCCTACCCCTACTCCCAGCTCCACCCCCTCCCCCAGAACAGCCCCATTTGATGCTGTCACCCCCTGCCACTGTTTACCATAGAAAAACAGTGCCCCCTCCCCTGCTCATAGCACACTCAACACGAATGTGCCATGAACTACCCCCATATTGAACATGTTTTTTATATCTCTAAATTTTAAAGTTTAAACAATTGACCAGTAGAAAATTGGATGGCACATTTGTTAGGAATAAATGATAAAGATTATGTTCATGATACTACATAAAACTAATCATTATAGTCATCCTTTGGGGTTCTGTGTATTCTGTATATATTACCGCCATGGTATCTGGAGCCCGATTTCTATTTCTATCCTCATCTCTTTTTTGAATATCCCCGGCATGTCTACGTAATGGTTTTGACATACAAATTCAATGCTACAGCAACCCCCTTAACCCCTACCCAAAGAGTTAGGTGTGCTGATAACACACTCAGTACCAGTTTTCCATGAACTGCCCCCATATGAAACTTGCTTTGGTTTCTCCTTGAAAGTTTAAACTAGTGACCATCAGAAACTTGAACGAAACAGTTGGTAGGAATAAAGGATCAAGATTATATTCAGGATACTACTTAAAATTACTCCTTCATCCCAAAATGTGATTTCCGCTCACTATTCATATATTCAAATTATAATTATACCTTCCTTTTTTACAAATTTTCCTTGATTGTTTGATATATATTAAAATAGTCAAGTCACTAGTTTTGTTGAACTTTTGATATAGTTTTTAAATATACAGTTTAGTTAATTCTACACCAATTTTCAAATACATTTAATTGAAAATAATGTTAGTCAGATATCTCATACCGAAATGGGAACCTTATTTTGAAATGTTATTTTACACCCGACTTTGGTTTTCCAGGTCTGGTGTTTGGTCTTTTTTTCTGGCTAAACATTTTAGGTCATAACCATAAACACATCTGTTCGGTATTTATTTTATGTATTCCCTTGGATTTCTTTTTCACTTTCAAATAAACTCAAATTTAAGAGATGAGTGTAAAATAAACAAACAAAAAAAATGTTCCTTGAAATTTTCATGTCCTTCATTAATAGAGACAATGCTAATTTTCTCTTTAGGGCGTGTTTTTCATCATTCCCAACAATTTGTTTATTAAATATGCTAAGTAGACATTTAATTTTGGATGCCCCAAGAATCAAATTTGGAAGGAGAGAGTATGAATTTAGTTTTTTGTAGTACTAATTTATTTAATCTCAAGTGCAATTCAAAAAAAAATCACAATAATGAAAAAAAGTGTTAAAATTTTAACTGCATAGGGTCATGTCTTGGTGAAGACAGCCTTGCCCCCCCCCACACCCCTCGCCCCTACCTGCCTAAAAGATAGTGGTGGTGCTAAAATTTTGTCAACATAGATTAAAAAAGCTTGTCATCTTCAATTTGAAATGTACGTTAGCGTCACAAGCATATTTATTTTGTTCTCTTCAATTAGATTTTTCAAACACAATTGTGTTCGGATTGCTATTAATCGGTAAGAGACAAAGTTTGTCAAAATGCATAATCATTCTTATGCTATTTTGGGTTTACTTAGATTCCTGTTTTTGGGATCAAGGCTTGTTGGTTGTTGCTCTGTTGTACGCAATACAGAGGTATATATAACAATCAAGGACAAAATCTGAAGGTTCTTATTTGTACAAGCAGAGTGTACTGATGTGTTTGACTAATTAGTCACTTGTGGTTTGTTGACCTTAGTCAGAGATTTGATGGTTTTTTCTTCCATCTCAGCTGGTAGATATTGTAGTAGAGCATGGACCGGATAGTGTGGCTGTACCCGATGAAGTGAAGAAAGAACTAGTGTCGAATTTGCACAACGTGACTTCAACAGTTGAATTTCCCGAGGATTGGGATGGTCCAACTCCAGACCAACTCTTAGTGCAGTTGGCTTCTACCTGGGAAATTGATCTGAAGTAACCTTTGTTGATCTATTCTCATATTGGGATAGCAGCCTCTAAAATGTACACAAAACCATTGTCCTGATCTTTGTCTGTTTACGTTCTTTGTGCGGTATAGTTTTGGCATAGGCATTTGTAAGTATAAAGTGTAATGTTCGTTTCGATGAGATCTCACTGAGCTTGTTATAACTCTGGCTTTGGATGAAAGTATCAAATGGATTTTAATCTGTTAGAAACGTGGTAGTGCCACCATGGAAATGAAATGAACAATACATGTAACGAATTGCTGAGCATAAACTTATAAAATGTGGTGCTTATTCAGAGAAATCTTCTCTAATGAGGGATAATGCCTATTTAGTGTACATGTGAACCAATTATGATTCCTTCTTTGTGGAGGTAGGGTTGTCAACGGATAGCCGAAAATCCGATTACCGTCCGCATCCGTATCCGTTTAAAGATGAAATATCCGCATCCGTTTTAAACGGATATTATCCGTATCCAGTAAAGGATATTCGATTACTAAACGGATACGGATTTGGTAATTGTATATCCGATCCGTTTAAAATTCGATCGGAATATGCATCCGTTTAAATAACTGTTTCTCTGAATATCTGATCCGTTATATATAGTTTTTAATAATTTTTTATGTTTATATTTTGTTTCTCTATTGATATTTCAAAATATAAGACATTTTTATATACAAGATAAATGTGTAAACACATAAAATATGTATAGACATATAAATATATGTGTATATGTGTGCTGTGTATATCTTCGTATCATATGAAGTTATCGTAAAATATCATAAATAATGAAAACAAAAAAAATAATTATCCCATAACAAATTATAATTTATTTAATAATAGTTTGACTTTAATCTAATTTAAAATTAAAGTATTGTTTAATTTGATTTTAAAAATTGGAAATGGATACAGATATATCCGATATCCGACCAATATCCGACAGATGCGGATACGGTTTTGATTTTCAGGATCCGTATCCGAATTCGATATCCAACAAAAATAAACAGATATAGATTTGGTAATGGCACATCCGATCCGATTAATATCCGTTTACACCCCTATGTGGAGGGAATATTGGATCGTGATAAAAAAAATGCTAGAGTCACATACAAAATACTTGCAAAATGTACAAACTTATAAAATATTGAGGTTGAAAAAGACTAAAATAGGTTTTCTATGTTTTCTTCCCAAAACAGGAGTAAAATATTGAAAATATATCAAAATAGGTTTTCTATGTTTTTATCTTTCCAAAATAGGAGTTAAAATATATTTACATCGCCAATCATGATCATGTACATTACCAAAATGTATTGTCAAATGTTCATGTACGATGCCACATTACCACAATGCGAAGTCTTATTTACGAAAAAAAAACATGGAACTTTTATGTTGGTGCTTTCTCTATCTTTTACTTCTATTTAGGTAAATTTGTATATTATTTTTTTTATTATTTCTTATTGGAATCAGTTCAGATTAGGAATAACTTTAAATATAACTATATTTAGACCAAATCAGATTAGATCAAATTAGATAAAAAATTATTTTAATCAAATAAAAATCATTCAGATCGAGTAAAAAAATTGAGCCCTTATTTCAGTTTTAATTTTTTATATATCATAAATTCATACCAATTTTTCAGTTTTTAATTTTTTTTAGTTTTCAGTTTTTTATAAATAAACTTATAAATATATCATAAATTCAAATCAATTCGTCAAATCAAATAAAGAACATATAGAACCATCAATTCATCATATTTCATAGCAATTAGCAAAGATTTCTAATTAAAATTCAATAATTAACCCTAAATTTTAAATCTAATGAATGATAAAATGAAAGAAAAAAATTAAAAAATTGGAAAGATATGAATACAGAATACCTGGAGGCTGGAGGTATTTTATTACAAAATTACAAAAGTTACAAAATAGGCTTTTTTATTTTATTTCGTTATTAGTTTTTTCCCATTTTTGATGAATTAATTTTTTTAATTTAAGAATAAAATACCAAAATAATTAATTTAAAAACTCATAAATTACATGAATTAAAAAAAGTACACAAGATACATAAATAAAAAAACATGAAGTACATGAAAGAAAAAACAATACACGTAACACTAATTTGATTTTTTATTTTTCTAAAGATACTCTACTCGCGACGTTGGTTTGCGCCCACACGATCTTGATTGATTCAGATTCGTCTTCTAACGACCATATCTTCCTCGTTCTGCCTCAAACTTGTGAAAATACGAGTCGAAGTTTGGACTGCTTCTATAAATATTTCGCCATCACTAGACGAATCGGAAAAAAGAGTGAACAAATTATTCCTCTTTTCGGTATAATTACTTATTTAAAAGCAGGGGATATGTTGACTAATTTTTCCACCCATGTAATTTTTATTATATATGGAAAACATTTTTAATCGTACATAAATAAATGAAGCATAAATAAATAATAGAAATAGGGTTTAAATTAACATAAATACAATAATAGAGACCTTATTGATGGAAAGCATTTTATAACATAAATAATGTGTACATAAATACAATAAGAGGAATGCGAGAGTCACAAATAATTTGGACACATTCTCACAAACTTACCATTTATGTATGTAAATTTCTATTTTTAAATTATTTAAAATCATTTTATTCACTTGGAAAAGTACACAAATAACAAGTTTGTGTAATTTGTGTCTAACTTGTTTGTGACTCTAGCATTACTTATAATGTAATTAATCCTATAAAAATATAATTGTTTAACATAATTTTTAAATACGTAAATAGATAAATAATATAAAATTTTAATATATAAAAATGACACAATAAAATAAAATTAATTATATTAAGTATGGAGTATAACTATATAGATATATATTATTTATTACTCCCTCCGTCCCGCTATATTCGCCCACTTTTGACTTTTGGAACTGTTCATCTAAGCACTTTGACTCATCAAATTCTCTCATTGTGTAAGCCTAAATATAGTCATGTGTGATCTTGTTTGATTTGTCTTAACATATAGATTATTAATACTCCGTATATAATTTTTATAATTTTTTAATATACAAATTACAAGATAAAATGAATTAAAGAAGTGTATTGGATGATGTGTAAAAATGAAAGTGGACAAATACTCTGGGACAGAGGTAGTAATCACCATCAATGAATGATATTAATTGTATTATTCTTTTCCCCACTCATGTAATTTTTATTATACATGAAAAAAAATATGGATCAGACCTTATTGATCACGGTCAATGAAGTATTTTTTTTTAATTGTACATAAATAAATAGACTTTTTATAACAAATACTTTAAACTTCTATATTTGTGAGAATTAGTTCTTACCTCATGCTTCACATGAGCTCGTACAGTTTTACGCAAAATATGTATATAGATTTGATTAAAAATATAAGATTAACAATGAAGAAATAAATGGAACAAGTATTAAAGTTACTATATTACATCACGAGTATATGAAACACATAAATTTCATACGTACAAAATTTCTTGAATTACGGCTTTGTTTGGTAACAGTGTTTTCGATTAGTGTTAGCGTTTTGGAGAAAATTTTAATGGTGCAGATTAATTCTGAAAACGCAAACACTAAAGGCTACTGTCGGATAGCTTTTTCAAAACGTTAACGCTAATCTCTGACGCTGATGCCAAACGGGACCTACTTCTAGCTAGGTGGCTTCTTTGTATCTATTATTTTTAAAAATTTGGTGATGTGTGTAGTAAAATACACATGGATTAACATACTCTTAACCTCTACTGTAATTTTAATGCATTTATATCTTAATTATTTAATTCATATTTACATTTTTATGAACATGTTTTAAATCTAAGTTTTTATGTCAAAGTTTGGAAAGTAAATTTTTCTAAAACTTGTCACTACTTTTTAGACACTAAAATTACTAATTTTGGAATAGTCACATATATGTGCACGCAAAATTTATCCTTTCCTGGAAAACAAATTTAATAATAATGAAAAAAAACATAATGAAAAAAGAAAAAATATTTTTCCAAATATTTATTTATCTTATAAAATTATTTAAAAATTTTGAAAATAATTATTTATTTTCATAGATGTGATTCTTGAACATCTAAAAAGTCTCATTTTAATTACTCTTATTCTTTATATATTTATTTTTAATATCAATAAACACATAATATGTGATATTCATATGGTCAATTACAAAACTTCATATCTAAAGTATTGCAAAACTATACATGTAAGAACTAAAACAAAATTTGGATTATTGCCTATTTTATGTACTTCATTTGTCATGTAAATAAAAGCATAAATTTTTTGTATAAAAATAGAAAATATTTGTACTAAAAAATAGAAAATAATAATTTTTTGAATAAAAAATAGTTTTATGTGGTTCTTGAACATCTTAAGTCTCATTTTAATTACTTTTAATCTTTATTTATTTTTGGTATTAATAAACTCATAATTTGTGATATTTATATGGTCAGTTACACAATGTCATATCTAAAGTATTTCAATACTATACATTTAAACACTACAACAAAATTTGGATTATTGCCTATTTTATGTACTTCATTTGTCTTGTAAATAAAAGCATAAAATTTTGAATAAAAAATAGAAAAATATATGCACTAAAAAATAGAAATTAATAATTTCTTGGATGAAAAATAGTTTTAATAATGACGAGCCTGCATTTAATTCTATATAAATTTATATTTTTGAAATGTATAAAAAATAAAAATGACTAATAGTTATAAAAATTAATATACTGTTTTGTTTTTATAAAATTATAAGATTAAAACAATATAAAAAATAAAATAGTAACATCTCTATGTAGGTAAAAATAAATATGTTGGTATAAAAGTTGGAAAATGAGAAAGATTTATAAGGAGTATATGAGTAAAATATAGGAAAATAACCAAATTAAAATTTTCATGTTTTTATTTCCAAAATAATAATGTCAATAATGTCAACATATAAATACCAAGAATTACAATGAAATGCCTATATATAGTGTCACATTGTCACAATGTAAAAATACTATTTTAGGATAAAAATAAGTCATTTCTATTATGTTAATAAAGACAATATTTTACTCCTATTCTAATTGATTTCTTCAAGGCAAATTTCAAAAAAAATACAATTTTTTATTCTTTCTTATTTTTAAAATGTAATATTTTTCAAGCTGATGATAGTAATCTGGTCAATATATAAAATATTTTATCAAAGTATAAATAGTTAAGAATTTGAAACTATAATTCTCTTTCATGTGGTTATAACTTGTAACTTAGTAACGATTAGCTATTGCACGTTAGATTTTCTGCACACTTTTTTTTACTTTATTGATTACGTTGTGCCTAGATCTTCATTGTCACAGATTTTTTTCACACTTCTTTCTATACCTTGATCTTCTTTATCAAAATCTTTTTTGCATAAATATGTGATGTCTCTTAGAATATCATCCTATATTCCTATGAAAATTCTATATAAGATTGCGTCAATGAAGTTGGAATTAAGTCCTCTTTTATTTAAATTTTCCTACCTTTTATGCATAAATATAGTGAATTACAACACAATATAAGTATATACAAAGTAAATGCTAAGTTTTAGCTTACGGAAAAGGGTTACAATACAAAGTTAATTATTTTGATTAAAATAGTAAATATTTTTCAACAATGAATTAAGATATAAAAGTTTTTAAACGCGAATATGCTGAGAAATTTGTGTGTAACAAATGCGGAATTCATCTAAATAGTACTAAAACATAATGAGTTTTTCAATATATTACAAAATGTTTTTATTTCCTAATGTAGCACCACTGGTCATTGTTACAGTAAATCTCCATCACCATTAGACACCGTTCGAACTAAATATCCACTATTACTAGATATTTTTTCCGCCACTAAGTATTATTCAAATACTATTTAAGAAATAAAAAAGTTTAAGTAATGCATTATATAATAATATAGGCTTTAATACAATTTAGTTCAAATTTCACTTTTTAAAAGCAATGCTTAAAAAAGGATAAAGCTACTTGTACCCCAATGTTTTTGTACACCATTTGTACGCCGCAGGTGTGCACCAACATTTTGTGTTGGTGTAATGCTAATTTTTGTTAACGCATTAATACTTTATGTCAGTGTAAATTTTTGTTAAAGCACCAACACTTTCTGTCCGTGTGAATCATCAAAATGTTGATGTATACCTTTAGTGTAAGTTTGGGATACAAATTTGGGTGTAAATGTAACATATCCTCTTAAAAAAACTTCAAACAGAAAACGTTCCTGCATTCGATAAAAACGGCGCCTCCTCGCTAGTCAGTACGTAGTCACTGGTCAGTCTTCAAACCCATTTTGCCAAACAAACGGCAGTGGTAGACTTGTGGGAGCCACACCACCTCTGTCCGACCCTTCACTCAACAATGGCGGATTTGATTATGGAGGAAAGAGAAGAGCTCATGGTCTCACCATCAGGTGGAACACCAACTCTAAGAACCGCCCATTTTCTCAACCCCTCAGTAACTTCCCCCGACAGCTCCTCCTCCTCCCTTCCGCAGCGATTCACGGCGGCCGGAAACATGGCACCGCCGCCGAAGTTTGACTTTCGGGGGTGGAGGATTAACCCACTCAAGGAATGGGGGGAATGGGTCGAATCCATGCGCTCCCTGCACGAACCCCTGTGGAAGAAGGCCGGAATCCGCGACGCCGTGATGAACTCGACCTACAGAATCCACCGGCACGACGAAATTGTTCTCGCTCTCGCCAGAAAATGGAACCCGGAGACCAACACGTTCCTGTTTCCGTGGGGAGAAGCCTCTCTCTCCTTGGAGGACATGATCGTCTTGGGAGGCTTCTCTGTTTTGGGCTGCTGTGTTCATTCCGATTCAAACCCTAGAGACCTAAATATTGAAGGGATCAAAAAGAAATTACTCAAAGCTCGATCCGAGCTAAACATGTCTAAATCAAAGAAACCCACCCAAATTGGTTGGATGGTCAAGTTCATGAACAACAACAAGGAATGCGAAATAGAGCACGAGGCCTTCCTTGTGCTCTGGTTGGAGCGGTTTGTTTTCCCTGTCTCCACGCAAGACACAATTGGCACAAAGGTTTTGGACATTGCCATTCGACTAGCCAAAGGCCAGAGAATAGCCCTTGCCCCGGCTGTCTTGGCTATTATCTACAAGAACTTGACAATCATGAAGAAGGCTCTTGGTGGAGTTGGTGGTGACCACACCCAGAATTGTTGCGCGATTTTGGCCCCGTTCCGGCTGGTGCTAGTATGGGTTTGGGAGAGGTTCCCTTCTTTTTTGCACCCAAACAATCCCATTTCTGATAAGCCGAGGTTTGCAAGGTGGGATATCTTAAGATGGATGCGAAGAGTATAGACTTTGCAGGAGAAGAATTTCTGTGGCGGCCATACGCGTTGGGGGCCAAAAACTCACTTCTTCTCTACAAGGAGGGAGAAGGACGATGGACTTTTGTCACTGGTGGTGGGGATGAAGTGGACGAACTCATTCGCTGTGTGAGGGTGAGTGAGCTGGTGGGGATAGAGGGTGTCATTGAGCAGTACCTGCCTCACCCTGTGGCTATGCAGTTTGGAATGGATCAGGATCATCCCCGGTTCGTGGCGCGAGCGGATGGATCGCCTGAAATTGCTTGGAACTTCTTCTCGAGGCCCGTCTTGGACTTGAAACTCTGGGTTCCCCCGCGCTTGTTTGAGTCCGATGTTACCACTCGGTACTTGGATTGGTTCTCTAAAATTGTTAATGTTCCTGATGATGGTGATAGCTATGATGATGATGATGATGTGCCTCTGGCTGAACTTGTAAGGAAGGAGGGAAAAATTGATGAGAATACTCGTCTTCTTGATGATGATGATGACGACGACGATGATCATGAGGTTGATGATGGTGTTTCCCTGGCTGAGCTTCTTCGGAAGAGAAGAAAAAAGGATGTTAATAAAAGCCATATCGATGGAGAAACTGGGACGGGGCATGTGGAAGAAGCAGATAAGAATGGAAGAATTGGGGACTCTCAAATGATTCAAGATGATGATGATGATGATGATAAGGGGGAGGAGGAGAAGGCATTCGGGGACGGTTTCGACAGAGAGAGTAATGGAAGAGGAGAATGTGATGCTACTACTACTGCTAGGACTAGAACTGAAGCCCCCGAGGCCGGAGGTTGCGAGAGTCCGTGGCGAACGAGGGCTCAAAGACTGGAAAAGAGGATTAGGGATCTGCAGAAATTGGTTGGCTTGATGGAAAACCGAGACAGAGATCACCCGTGATAGCCTCTGGAGATTGGTTGCTTTGGTGAAACTAAATGAATCATAATTTGTTGTTGTAATTTTGCACTTGCTTGGTTGAAATGAACACACAGCCAAACTGTACATTGATTGTTGTAACTTTGGACTTGCTTGGCTGGGCATCCAACCAACCGTCTCAAGCATAAGTATTATTGCCTGCATCGAACTCATTTCCAACAAGAAACAAAAAAAAAAATGGCCGAAGGATGAAGGCTCAGGTCTAAAGGGGAAGAGTTACCTATCAGGGCAAAAAGAAAAATTGTCAAGGACCTACCACATCTAAACTCGTACCGGAGTACTTCGTTTATAGCATGAAGGAAAAATTGTCCACAAAAACATGATCAGAACAAAACAAAAAAAAACTGTCCACAAAGACATAATCAGAACAAAACAAAAAAATTATACCGTGTACTATCTACTAGCATTTGTTTCACGCATAGTTTTTAAAAGAGTAATTTATCTAAATATGACTAAAACATAATGACTTTTCCAATATACGACCATATGTTTTTATTTTCCAATGTAGAAAGTATTGATCATTATCTATTAGTCATTATCTAACTAAATGTCTAGCATTACTTGGATATTATTCTTCTCACTAGTCATTATTAAGTCCTATTCAAGGAATAAAAAAGTTTAAGTCATATATTAGGAAATGACTTATGTTTTAGTCCTATTCAGTTCAAATTTCACTTTTTAAAATCGTGCACAATGTACTCTTATGTCAAGAGGTAGCCGGGATATAATAGAAAAGGGATATCCCCGAGGTGCATGATGAAGCTGGACATACAAAAAGCGTATGACTCAGTGAGCTGGAAAGCTGTCAGAGGTATTCTCTATTTTCTCAAATTCCCTGAAAAATTTATTAAATGGGTTATGTTCTGTGTTACTACTCCATCATACACCATAAACCTTAATGGAGAGCACCATGGATATTTTAGAGGAGGGAAGGGACTGAGGCAAGGAGACCCAATATCTCCTCTTTTATTTGTTCTCTTAATGGAATACCTAACCAGATCTTTCTCCGAAGCTGCTCAAAAAGAAGGTTTCTCATTTCATCCTATGTGTAAGGAGCTGAAGATAATCAACATCTCTTTTGCTGATGATCTTATAGTGGTCTGTAAGGCTGAAAGAAGGTCAGTTCAGTGCATTATGAAGGTTCTGGAAAGGTTCAAAAAGACAACGGNGAATCAGCAGAGGAGGGAAGAGCTACTTAAGCTTACTAGCATGAAACCAGGTAAGCTACCTTTCACATATCTTGGTTGTCCTATAACAACAGCGAGACTAAAAGCTGCAGATTGTGAACCCTTGATAATAAGCTCACTAACAAGATTACTGCATGGGGGACTAGACATTTTTCATATAGTGCCAGGATCATAATCATAAACTCGGTATTCATGGGTATAATTTTTATTTTGCCTAAATTGGTAATGGAGAAAGTTATGACTATATGCAGAAACTTCCTGTGGAGTAGTTCTCATGAATACAAGAGAATCCCATTAGTACAATGGGAATAAGTCTGTCAGACGAAGAAATTTGGAGGATTGGGTATAAAGAATGCTCTGTACTGGAATAGAGCCACAATAATGAAATTAAATTGGGACATTGCTGAGAAAAAGGACATCCTTTGGGTGAAATGGATACATAGTAGATATATCAAAGGTGCCAACTTCTGGGATTATATACCAAAACTTAATTCATGTCATTATTGGAGGGAAATGATCAAGGTGAGAAACTTATTTAGGGATATGATTAACACGCAACCTTTCTCCATCAAGGCAGGGTACGAATGGCTGCAAGGAGACAGAATCATTCCTAAATGGAGAAACTGGGTATGGAACAAATATACTCATAAATTTCAGGTTGTATTTTGGCTTTTGATGAGAGGCAGGCTGCAAACCAAGGAGAGGCTGAGCAAATTCCTTCCAATAGGGAATGCCATTAACTGTACTTTATGTCACAAAGAACCTGAAACAGATGAACACCTCTTTTGGAAATGTGAAGTTGCCAGAGGGTTTATAAGGAGAGTTTTGGTAACTTTGGATGGCATTATCAAGCTAGTTCTTTAATGCACTTTGGGGAAATCCTACAGCTAACTAAGGAGAAAGTAAGAAGAATGAAGAGCTATGCAATCTGGGCTGTTTGTGTGTATGGGATCTGGAGAGCAAGGAACAATGCTTTGCATAAGAAGATTATTCAAGAAGAGGAAACCATTAAATACATTATAGGCTATTTAAATAGTTTTTTCTCTTATAAAAGCCATTAGAATGATATGTTGTATGCCTTGGTTGTAAACTACTTAGATGAGCTGGGTAATAAATTGTGTTTATGGTGCAAAAAAAAACTGCATGCATCAGCAACTCATATATACACACACACACACACACACACACACACACACACACAAATATATAACTTTGTATATAATAAAAATAATACTTCATTTGTTTGTATATAAAAATTATGATGTTTGATTGGAGTTTTGATCGATTTCATTTATTTTATTAGTAGAATCAGACTTGAAAATAAAAATTGCATAATTTAAATGAAATCAAAAGTGTTATAAAATAAGAGATGCATTCATTTGTTCACATATTTTTTCAAATATATTTCAAAAACATTGAAATGAGTTTTTTTTTACAAATACCCTGTATTAGTATCAATTGTGTTTAAAAAACTTTGAATCCTAGGTATAACATCATATTTATCAAAGTTTTAACAAAAAAAGAAATTTTTGTTGCATATTATGCTTTTAATTATATACTATATATTACTTGAAATAAAAATGTAACAAAAATCATTCTTGCTTAGTTGATGTACATCTTGACCTAATGTGTAAGAGGTTTACAGTTTGAATTCTACTGATGGTAACACTTTTTGGCCAATTATTGTATCAAAAAAGCTGGTTTAGCCGCCGGTTAAATTTGCTGGTTTTTTCTGGTTTGACCAGTTTGAACTGGTTGAGAGTACGATGCAGTCTATGGGGTTGGTTGGACTTGTTCGACCTTCGGTTCACCAGTTCTGACAGATAGAAATTCTGTTACTGTATTGATTTTTACTTTTTTAGCATCCATCAAAATCCGTATTTTAATTTGATATCCTATGAAAATAAACAGGTATCCTATGAAAATAAACAGAATCGAATCTGGTGATAGAACATCCATTTTCTTTCATCCATTGTGTCATAATCTATTTTGATAAAAAATTTCACATAGTCCACGCTTTATTTTCTCTCCTCCTCCCATTTTCTCACATATCCAAACAATTGAATCACTTGATCAACCCATAGTTTTGAAAACTGAAACGGCCTGGTTGGTTCGAATCGTGATCCGGTGAACCGGTGGTCCAACCGGTCTGGTCCGGCCATATGGACCGCAATAAGATTCAAACCGGTCCGAACCGTTGTAAACAAAAAAGAACCGAGCGATCAAACCGTTCAGACCATTTTTTTATAATTTTTTCCAAAAGCATACGGATACGAATCTGGTAATAGAACATCTATTTTGTCATCCATTTTCTTTGTTCCATTTTGTCATCATCTATTTTGATAAAAAATTTCACATAGTCCATGCTTTATTTTCTCTTCTCCTCCCATTTTTCTCACATATCCAAACATTTGAATCACTTGGGGGTGTTTGTTTTTTCTGCAGGAATAGATCTGCAGTCTGCGGACCACTACTGTAGACATGTGCAAGAGAAGTGGTGGAACGAAGATCTGCGATCTGCAAGAAGAAGACTGTTTGTTTTTTAATGTCTGTAGACTGCTATATAAATTAATGGTGGTAGTGTACGGTGGTGGTGTATGGACGATTGTGGTGGTGGTGGAGGGTGGTGGTGGATGTTGACGGCGGCGGTGGTGGACGGTGGTGGCGGTGGATGGTGGCGGTGGTGGTGGACGACGGTGGTGGTGATGGTGGACGGTGGTGATGGTGGTGGACGGTGGTGGTGGTGAAGAGAAGTAGAAGAAAAAAATGGAGAAGATGTTAGAAGATGTTAGAAAACATAGGTTAATGTCTTCTCCAAGAAGATGCCAGGAAGACCTTTTTGAGTGAAATGTCTTCCAAAAAACAAACAATCTGCAGAGCTCAGCATCTGCGCGGCACAGACAAAAAAGGCCAGAAGCTCTTCTGGCCAAAAAACAAACACCCCCTTATTCAACCCATAGTTATGAAGAATGGACCGGACTGGCCGGTTCGAACTATGAACTGGAGAACCGGTGGTTCAACCAGTCTGGTTCGGCCCGATGGACCGCAATAAGATTCAAACCGGTCTGAACCAGTGTGAACCGCCGGCCTATCAAATCGATCGGACCATTTTTTTTTTTTGCAATTTTTTCCAAAAACATACCACCATGAGGATTTGAGCCAAAGATCTCTTAGTCATTTATTTGAGTTCTTAACCATCCAAGCTACTGTGTTTTTTGTTACAAGTTCACTTAATCTTTTATAATATTTCATAATTAAAAATATTGTATAAAAATTCTTTTTTAGTTTAAAAATATAATATTATAACTATGAGTCAAATACAAAATCATTGATATAATTGATATTTTTACAAAATTTTTATCATGTAAAAATTTCATTTGAGTGTTTTTTGAATATTAAACAATTTATTTGAAAAAAATAAAATCAACTCTTCCTTTATAAAATTTTTAATATTGTTTTTTAAATATGTAATATGTAAATTTTATTTTTTAACTTACAAAAATAACTCAAGTATATTAATATAATTTTAGTAAAATGTTATAAATTAGTTTCTTTATGTATTTATAAATGAAGGAGTGTATGTCATATATATGTGTGTGTGTGTGTGTCTATATATGTTTGAAAATATGTTTGAACCACCGATTTGACCAGTTAAACCACTGATTCGACTAGTGAACTAGTGACCAGTACTTTGATCGGTTTGGTCACCGGTCTATTGCGATGCACGAGATGAAATGATTTTTTGTTTGGAATTTGTAATTTTTCTTTACTACAACATTTTTCAGAAATCAAACAAAATAAAACGTTAATCTTAAAAGTTAATATAATGATAAAGTATATAACATTTGCTAATGATGATTTTACTATATACATTTGAAAATTAACAACCAAAGTGTTAGCTAAATTAGAATAATTTGGAAAAAAATTGAGGTTTACAATAAAATTGTATAATGTTATAAAGACATCTAAAGCTAATACTTTCAACTTTACTTTACTTTGACTTGTGAAACATTAATGTGTATAACATCGATATTAAATTAATCATTAGTGAATAGCGACTTGATAAAATACAATCCTGTAAATGACAATGTTTGGCACTTACTTTAAATTATAATCATAACAAACCATAAACTTTTTAAAATTATAATTTTTGAAGCTTCAAGGGTAATCTTATATGAAACGAACAAAATTAACTTAGGTTGTGTAACCTTAACAACTTTGTTTCCTAATATTATAATTGCGTGGAAGAAGTTTTTTTTGCAATTCTTCAACGATTAACCTTATACTATTACATAATTCAAATAGGTAATCAGTGTTCCAAATAACATAATGAGCAGATCTTTCTTCAAATTAAAATTACTTTGTGGCTTAATATTCCTAAATATTTATTCTCATTCATAAATTCAACTTTTATACAACCGCCTTTAATGAGTACAAAAATGATTCTCTTCACCCCGGATTAGTTTAGATTAAAAAAATGATTCATCTATCCGCATTAATATAATTCTTCTCCTTTGTATTAAACAAAATTAGTGATCATGTATTTATTCTCCTTTGCATTAATTAAAAACTGGATTGTCCATCTTATAATTCAAAAAAATATGATTCTTTTATCCTGCATCACCATATTATATTTGATTAGTGAAATAAGTACTCTTCCACATCAAGATGATTCTCTTCCCTCACATTGATTAAAAAATGTTGTGTATGATTACTCTCTTATTGCATTATCCAAAAAAGAAAATCTTTCATTAAAATTCTATAATTCAAAAAAATCAATTTAAAAAAATCATTGAAAATCCAACTATTACACTCCCTTTGCATTAGTCAAAAAAATAAATATAAAAACTATTGGTAATCCTATGATTCTAAGTATATATTAAAAAAACATTTGATACTTCTTTATAAATACATTTAATTTAAATATTTGATTGTTTTAAAAATAGTCTAATCATTTGTAGTATTTTAATATAGAGATTAAGATATTTTTTTTTGTTTTTTATTTTACATCATTATTTAAAAAAAATAAAATAAAAACTATCTTTATTTAAGCATATATGTCATAAAGAAATATTTACTTTTTAGAGGTTAAGAAAATATTTTTTATTAAGGAAGGAAATTTTATTTATTCACTAAAATTTTTATTAGAAATGAAGACAAAAATATAAATTATACAGTGCATTCTCATAAAAGCGATGATCTTTATTCTATAATTAAATTAACTCAATAATGTTAAAATCATAAAGAATGTTACTGTAAACATAATGTGTCATGGTGACACACTTTTGGTTCAAATATTTTCTATTTTTCAATTAAAAATATCATATCATAATCGATAATTAAAAACAATAAAATTTAATTTTAAACCATAAGTAATTATCTAAGGACTATAAACCATACATTTTCTAGTAAACTCAAATCATAAAATAACTATATTCGAACTATGAGATTATGCATGATATTTTTTCTATTTTAAGAAAATTATAGACCACTCAAATCTTGTTTCTTTAAAAAAATTTTTTTACATCAATATTGCAATAAATAGAATAAAAACAAACTTCATTTTAACATCATACACTAATATACACTTATTTATTAATTAAAAATTTTATTATACATGAAGAGATCGAAGTAAGAAACTTTGAATTGGGAAAGAACATTATTATAAAAATAATTTTTTCCATAATTATACTTATTCAAAGATTTAATTTCAAAATATTTATTTCACATTTTATATACGTTAAATTATTTGACATATTAGGTGTCAAAACAAATATAAAAGTTTTTCATAGGTAAAAAAACTATTTTATTTATTAGTTGTCAATATTTAAATAAATATAATCAAACTAATTAAACTAATAAATAAATATAAAATCTAATTACAGGTGAGGAGAGTGTTTTATTTGTGTTAAACAAAGAGAAAAAATTGAATTTGGAAAGGATATTATCATAAAAAGGAGGATTGTTTTCCCATATTTAAATTTATTCAAAAATATTTACCAAAATTTTAATTTCATATTTTTCAAATCAAAATTTATGTGACATATTAGATGTTAAAAAAGGCTGATGAGTAAGCAAAATGTCAGTTTCTTAGTTACCTGAGTCTCATGTTTATACATAAAGATTAAAAATTATATATTTTTCGTAAATTTTTTATGTTCATTATATTTATATATTTGGCTAATTTAAACATATTATGTTTGTATGAGAATAATATTAAACATAAACTTATCATTATTAAAGTTTTACTTTTTTCCTTAAAATATTTTTTTTAAATTTGCACTAAGTTAAGATTTATACTTAAAAGATATACTAACTCCGTCCTAGAGTATTTGTCCACTTTCATTTTTACAAATCATCCAATACACTTCTTTAATCCATTTTATCTTGTAATTTGTATATTAAAAAATTATAGAAATTATATATTAATAATATATATGTTAAGACAAATCAAACAAGATCACACATGACTATATTTAGGCTTACAAATTAAGAGAATTTGATGAGTCAAAGTGTTTAGATGAACAGTTCCAAAAGTCAAAACTGGACGAATACTCCGGGACGGAGTACTTAAATTAACTAATCATCTACTTGTGTTCAACTTTTTCTTCTTTCTAAAAATTATTGTCAAACTCGACAATAAATATTTTGATCTAGTTTTTAAATATTATATTAAATGTATGCGAAATATATATAGAGGTGAAGTGCATATCTTATCTCTCATTATAAGTTACATTGTAAATTAAGAGAAACTTTTATTAGTTTTAAAATTAGTAATCAATATAATTTTTGAAGGAATATTATATTTATTTTATATTAAATAAAGTTATTATAATAATAATTAGATAAAAATGTTATTACTAAATTTTAAAAGTTCTCATTTTGTTTTATTTTGCTTTAAATTATTTTTTTCCTATAAAAATGATTTAATTTCCTTTTTATTCAATTGACTAATTTTTAAGCTTAATTGGAATCCGAGCAAAATATTATAGTAAATATTTTACTGAATATTTTGTTAGTTAAAGAATAAAATTTTCTTTTTTCCATTAATCATTTTATTTTATGCAATACCATATTTATGTTTCACTAAATTTATTATGTTACATAATTTATGTTATTATATAATAAATTAGTTGAAGGAAACTTTGAGTCAATGCTCTTGATGACATGTCGTATATAAAGATTTTAGTCAAATGTTATTAATTAGTTTCTTTATGTATTTATAAATGAAGGAGTGTATGTATATATATGTGTGTGTGTGTCTAGACACACACACACAGATACACACACACGCACGCACACACACACACACATATATACATACTTTCTTCGTCCACAAATAAATTTTTTGTTGCGCGTTACGATGCTTGAGTGAAGTTATTTTCAAATCATTTTATATGAAAAATGATGTAAAAATTTAAAAATAAAAATTAACATATTAAAAAAACTATAGCAAAAGATCTACAAAACTAGAAGTGACATGACTATATTATTTTATCAAATGAGTGATGAAAATAGGTCAACAAAGTAAATAAAATTTGACAATGTGAATAGTGAACGATAAGTTTATTTTTGGACGGAGGGAGTATATAAAATTTTTAAAATATGCTTGAACCACCGGTTCAACCAGTTAAATCATGGTTCGGCCAGTGAACGAGTGACCGGTAGCTTGATCAGTTCGGTCACCAATATACTCCCTCCGTCCCAAAAAGTTTGTTACGTTTAGAAAAAACTGCGTCCCGTAAAGTCCGTTACATTTATATTAAAAAACCATTTTTACCCCTTACTTTTTCATACCCTACCTATCATATCATACCTTTTTTCTAATAATATAATCACCACATCCTACTTTTACCTATCACATCAAGGGTATTTTTGGAAAGTCAATACCAAAATATCCCTCCCTTAATTTTCCAAAAAGTCAAACCGTCCCATTCTTTTTGGGACGGAGGGAGTATAATATAATTATATAATTTTTAAAATATGCTTTAACTACCTGTTAACTCCACATCTCCCACTTTCAAATCCACGAACTGAATTTTCTTCGCCTTCGCTAGGAGGGAGACTACGCAGAGGGGGGTAACAAGCAGAGAAGAGGGATGATTAAATTCAGAAAGCGGCGCATTACAGGGGCACAAATGCAAGGACAAAAGGTAACCCCCTTTTACTTTTTCTATTTTAATTGTCATTTGGCTTCCTCATTCTAATCTTCTCTGAACATGTTTGGAGGTGTCGCCAAAGGATTTTCACCCTGGGCTCGGCCATGAGAGCAAAGATGCTTGACAACACCTGCAGCAGGGTTCTGGGCTACGGGACAACCATAAACCTGTATCATATCCAGAGTTTGTTTCTATGTCAACCAAGAGTTAACTCAAGTCGTACTACTATTGACCGGTAAAACCACCACCTACAGGTCTTTTCTTCTTTATCTTCCATTTTACGGATTTACTTAACCATATGTCTGAATTTGTAAATTAAAATGGAATTGGTTTGAGCATCTAGATTTCTTGAGCAATGCTTAATATGTGTTTGGAGAATTGCCTCAACGAGATGGAGGGTCTAACAGTGAGCAGCCCGAAGTGAGCACAGGATGAAGGATATTATTATGCAAGTAAGCACTTTGCTCTTATAGGTTATATGCATGCTGAATTGTATCTTCTATATACTTTGAAGTTTCATTAAAGAGGATAATGATAACTTACAAAATTTTGTTGATCCTCATCTTAGTAATGCCTCCAAAGTCATTCAGAATTTTTTTAATGGAAGCATAGCAATCATGATGTTTCAAGTAACTGTGCGACAGTAAGAATACAATGTAAGCATAAAGTGTAAGATTAAATTAAGTAAACACTGCCCAACTAAGTATATTCATTTTGATGTTCTATTTCTTATTCATATTGTGTTGAAGAGTCTTTAGTTGCTGCTGTTTAAATGGACAAAGAGCTCCATAGTTTCCCATGTAAGTATGTTCCTGAAACGCTTACTTCCAGACCCGGACAGAATAAAATTAAATTAACTAAAATTATTTATCACTAGATATCTAAATTTTTTTAGTCATGAAAAAGGATTCCATATTTTGTGATGTTCAAGCCGGGTCTTTAGGAAAATTCTATGAAGAAAGAACGCTGTGGAGCAGCATTAAGAAAAAATGAGAAGAATAACTTGATAGAGTATAACGAATCGCGTAAAAATGCTTTCAGATCAAAGTTATTTTGGATTATACGAAATCCTTCAATCGGATAAGACGCTAATCAAGAACAGGCCTTTCGAATCCACTTTCAATCATACCACAGCGTCTCTACTTATAGAGACGAAGATCACCTATCAGAAATGATGTTTTGCGTAAAGGTTTGCAAAATTTTTGCGCGGTAGGGATAATCGCTAACTTCCAATTTTGGGATGCAAAAGTTCGTAGAATTTTGGTCATAATCATTCTTTTATCTGAAGTCTAGGACTTTCTAATATTTCGGACTCCGTTCACGAAAATATAAAGAATTTTCATAAAGAAATAATGTCCAACTCTGGCCCGGGGCTCTGCCCCTTGTAGCTGCTAGGGCTACCACCCCCGGACCCCCGTTATGAATTTGTAATATTGTTGAACGAGTGCGCACTCCGCACCTCCTAACTCGTTTGACAATGTCTATTCAAATTCTTGTCTGATCTAAGTAAACCTAATCACACAAAATAGCTGATGACACTAAAATTGGGTCTTTTGAAAATAGTCTCTCTACTTCCAAGTAAGGGGTAAGACATGCGCACACACACCCTCTCCAGGCCATACTTTTGTGAGATTCTACCGAGTTGTTGTGAAAAGTGATTCTATGAAAACATCATTTTCATTTAAGAGTTGAGCTCGAACATTTCTTAGAATGATGACGACATGACGGACATGTATTTGACCGAAAGGTTTCTGCAACAACATGAGGTCATGGGAAATCATTTCATTTTATATCTTCTTTGTAATATGGCAAAAGTTCTAGGGATGTTTGAGGTAGATGACAGATGTTATACACAATTTTATCATACATGAGTTCTTTTTCTAAGAACCTATAGTGTTTCTTTAGATAGCCATTTCGTTGCTTTGATAAAGCTAAAAAAATTTCATTTTCCTTCAAAATATGTAAAAGTATATTTTGTCGTCTAAACAACTCTATTTTGGTGAAACTTCGCATGGACCTTCTTTTAGTCTCATTGGTAAGTATGCCAATGCCTTTTGAAAATGAAGCCATGATTTTCAATATATATGGTCCTTTGGTTGCAGGATCAGAATGCTCCCACCATAGAGCACCTCCGATCAGTCTCAATGTTGTGGTAGTTTTTCTACTATGTAGAAAGTAAATGAGTAGAGTGGGGTGAACTCAGTAGAAGTAAAATTGGATTCTGTCCCATTCGATGAAAACTAGAGATAATAAACTGATATAGGATAAGTGGGTTTTACAACTACCTCAAAAGTCTAGCGTGCAAGTGGAGAATTTAAGATGTGATGTTTCAACTGATAAAAAAGAGGGAAAGGAGTTATTACCTCTTTGCTCTAGCTTAAGGAAATCACGCGGAACAAAGATGTTATACATCACATATTCCCATGTGCTGGCAAGTTTCTACGGATGGGTCCCTCCGTTTTAGATTTAACAGGAGTGATCCAGATTGTGAGAACACAGAGGGAACGAGAGTGGCCAACACTTTGAATCTACGACATGCTCTGCCCCGAACAATGGAACGAAGCACATGATTTGAAGACTAGATTAATTGAAACAAAATCACGACAGTGATAAAGGAAAAGAAGTGCAAGCAAGATAGAAATCAAAGAATTAGTTATCTCTTCACAAGCCCTATTCTGTAGAGGCACTGAGGTTCTCACTTGGAAATACTCAAGTCCTCTTTTCAAAGCATCAAAAGTCTCCCCAAGACTTTGATGGTCTTCTCCACGGGGCAACCAAGTCCTTTCTAAAGAGACATTGATAGCCTTTCTAATGAGGTACTTGATCACCTCCACTCGAGACTCCGAATACTTCTCCTGTGCAACCTAAAGTCTTACCCATGAGACTAATAGAACGTGCACGCGAATTATATTCCCAATCTTTATCCTAGTTTGAAACACTCTCCATACACACCCTACCCCATATGACTATTTTTTCATGCATGCTCTTAGTTATAACAAAAATAAGATTGTTGTTTTTGTTTACAGATCTCAAGATGCATTAGTTCAATGGAAGTGTGCAAAGAAGTTGGGGATAGCAGCTTGGCCTCATGCCTGATTTTCAAGTGGTGGAACAGGCCAAAGATTTTCCAGATTTTAGGGGGGAGACTAATCAAAATCATGCTAGGTAGCAAATGGAACACTTTACTTTTGAGCTCAAAAGGGCTGAATTAGGAGCCTACATGAGCTACTATGCATCCCCATTATTGAAAGTACAGAGTAGTTAATTTTATATCACTAGTTATTTTTAAGGGGTTGTATGATTGATGACTGCCAAGATATTTCTATTTTTTTTTTTGGGTGAAATGCAAATAATACATTAATAGTCCAAAGTGAGTACAATGTGTGAATACAAATTATTGGAGTGTACCTATCAAATGATTGAAATGAAAGTCAAGTTACGACCAAATCAAACAAAGCAACAAGAATCAAGAAATGCTAAGTCAAATAAAATGTAAGAGGAAGAAAAATTCTAAGCGCCTACTTCTGTTTGTAAAGAAACGTGCATTACATATTACGAGTTTGATTGGTTTTATCTTCAATTCAATTTATTTGATTATATTAGTAAAATTTTAAAATAAAATATATATAGAAAAAAAGTACATGAAAAGTTCTTTGGCAAATGGAGGAAGTACTTCTTTGAATCACAACTACAAATTGAAACAATGCCTGGAAACAATAATAGGTGGATTTCAAACCTTCATGCTCTATGTTATAAAAATTTTGATGAATTTTCTTTCTATGCAACGCAAGGATTAGTATCGATGTTCTGAAAATTAGACTGGACGTCGACCCGGATGAAGGACTGGGTCAAGGGCTAACCGGTTGAAACGGGGTCAATTCGGGTCAACGAACTGGTTAATGTATTTTTAAATACTCATACTACGTAATATCTTAAATTTATGTCTAACTGATTGAAATGAGAAGGAAATAGAGGAAAACTTATTACCGAGTATATTCTAGCATATTAAATAATAATTAGTAAATATCTAGGGGTATTATTTAATTTTTAAAAATAGAAATGAACTTTCAAATATAAATGATTTATGTTTATTTTTAAATAAAAATAAATAATGATTTTTTTTCTTTAAAATAAATACTACGTAAAATAAATAAAATAAGTACTTTAAAATGCATTTCAGAATTACTTTTTCTAAAAAAAACAATAAAGATTTGAATTATAATACTCGTAGATAATAAATGATTCGGGATATACGTAGAAGGTTGCATCACAATATCAATAAATGGCATCCTTGTTTAGTTGGTGGAGGTGCTTGTCACAATTGCATGGAATCGGTCCAAAACCCGCCTCACAATACTTGTTTTTTGAAATTTAGATTGAATAGGACTAAAACATAAGTCATTTTTCAATGTAAGAATTAAACTTTTTTATTTTTTAAATAAGACTTAATAATAACTAGTGAGAAGAATAATGTGCAAATGAAAGCATATAATCTATATTGACAAAAAAGGAATGGTTTAGGCTTATTTAGGCCCAACCCAAAGTCCAAACAATATCTAGCTAGTCAGTGACAAATTCAAACCAAAAGATGAATGTGGAAAAGTCCTCCACTAGTCGTCCGTTCTAGGCTTCTAGCCAGTTGGACTTTCTTCTTGTCATCTTTAACAAGGTGTTTCGATCTGTGTAGAATAAGAGAGAGATTAAAAAAAAAAAAAAGTAGTAGAGTGATGGAAGTAGTAATCGGTGTTGCCGCCAAGATGGCAGAAATTACGGTGGTTCCCCTATTCACCCCCATCCTGCGCCCTCTCCGACCTTATTGGGGATACCATGACAACTTCCAAGCACTGCTGCAGAAAGCGGCTCATCTGAACGAGAGAAGCGCAGAGATTCAGGCCTCGATTCGGAGCGGGGCAAACGTTCCCCAGGAGTTCAAAGATTGGCAGGAGAGAGTGACCCTCATCTCCAACGCCACCGTCCCCGACCTGGGCAGAGAGCGACGACACAACAGCAGCACGGGATGCGGTTGCTGCTGCAATTTCATGATCAGTGCCAAGCACATGAGAAGCGTCGCAAAGGCTCTCGGGGAAGCGGAGCGAATGGGGGAAGAGGAGGCCGGGTCGGGGCATTATTGGAAGTGGTTGATTCGGCGCGAGAACGCCAGGAGAATCGGAGAGGAACTGAAGGAGAGAGTCGCGGGCGTGCAGCGGGAGATTGGAGCCAGGGAAGTGGCGTTGAAACCGGTTCAGGATTGGATCGAGGAAGCCAACGCATATCTTGTTGATGATGATGTGTCATCGCCTTCGACGCTCGACCACAAAGCGAGTGTCGGGGACGCGCTCCTTCAAAGGGCGGACGCGTTCGTGGAATTCTCGAGGGAGTCGGACGAGAGGAGGTACGAGAAGACGTACAGGGAACTGGGGGATCTGGTGAAGGAGCTGGAGGTGAAGGGGAGGAGCGTGGGGTGTCGGATTGAACCAGGGCACGAGGCGCTGCCTGACGTTAAGGATTGGCAGGAGAGAGTGGAGAAGATGAACGCAGATGCGGTGGCAATGCTTCGTGCCGGCGGCGGCGGCGGTACTGAATATTATTGTCCCCAGCAACACGCCAAACTTGACCAGCTTTCCATGGAGGTTCGTCGGCTTTTGGAGCAAGAGGACAAGTTTAAACAAGTCTCCCGTCGTTGCCCTCCACAGGTAATATATATTTTCATGAATAAAGCTATTATGCCCCAAAATGAATCAACTAACTCCAAAGGCACCCCATGCCTTGCATACATACACACTCATATCTGTATGGCACATCCTCCGTCCGTCCCAAAATATATTACAATATTCCCTTACATTTTTGTCCCCAAAAAATTTACAAAGTCAATAACTTTATAGTGATTTGACTCTTTTACCCTCCCCTTTTCTTTTCTACCAGCCACTATTCACACTATTTGGGGGGATTTGGAGGGTAATTTGGGGGAAAAAAATTTGATTTGACTCTTCCTTAATTTTAACTAAAAGGGAATATTGTACTCCCTCCGTCCCATTTTAAATCGTCCCTTTTGATTTTTGGGCATATTTAAGGAAAATTTTGAAGTCAACTTCAATTCTACACTTCCTTATTTTAGCATTTGGTCAAAATGGGAAGTGCTTTCAAGAATGGAGAGAGCATTGATTTTAAAAAAACATTATAAATAAATTTTTATAACTATCGACCATTTATTTCATATTATTATTTTTCATAAATAGTATTCCTTCTGTTTCAATTTAAATCGATTGTTTTGATTTATGTCGTTTTACTGAAATTATTTTCAAGATATAATTTGAGAATTGTGATGAAATTAAAAAATAAAATTTACATATTTAAAAAATTTTTCAAAAGTTCTACGAAACAAGAGGTGATATGACTATATTATATTATCAAATGACCAATTAATGAAAATAGAAAAAGAAAATAAATGAAGTTTCACTCTGTAGATAATAAACATGCAACTCAATTAGGAACCGAAGAAGTATGCCAATTTTAATTTTAAAACGTTGTAATGTCTTATTTAAATTTTCTTTAGTAAAAATTAATTTCATTATTACTACATTCAGTGACCATTAATTTTGTGTAAAACTTTGATCATGTAAGTGTTATAAAAATATTCATTTTATCATTTTAATTATTTAAATCTACATAATTATTGTAAGAAGACTTTTATACTCCCTCCGTCCCAAATTAAAATGTTTGTTCACTATTTAAAAAGTCAAACTTCATTTACTTTCTTTCTTTATTTTCGTTAGCAATTTGATAAATAAAGTACTATTGTCACTACTAGTTTTTTAGATTTTTTGATGTAATATTTTAATACATAATTTTTATTTTTTAACTCTATACCATTTGTTATATAAAATGATTTGAAAATAATTTCAGTCAAACATTATAAACTGAAACAGTCATTATAATTTGGAACGGAGGGAGTATAAGTTATATGGAGTATTTTTCTCCTATAAAAAACCAAACCTTTGTTTAAATTTCTAAAACTACTCACCATTTTAATTCTTATTATTTTGAAAACACAGATGTATAGAAACCTTAATTTCTTTGCATCATTATTAAAACTACACTTTTTATTAGGAAAAAGATAGCATATCTAATAATTAAAAAATATTTATATAACGCATACATATACTAATTATAAATCTAAAATAAATTTATTAATAACTTAAAAGTAGTAAAAACAATACTAGTAGTAGTAGTAACAATTTTTCAATTTTATTTAATTATCTATAATATTATTATATTTAATCGTATGTAAGATTAATTTAATTTGATATGACATTAAATAATGTTACATACTTTAGGTTGCATTCTTTTCGACTGGTCTAATCTGATTTGAATTGAATTGTTTAAGACTAATTTAATCTTATCCAAATGAATCCGATCTGATCTAAATGCATTTGACATGAATGGATGTGATCTGATCTAACCTGATCTGAATTGATCTAAATAAATTTCAAATAATTAGAGCAATAATAAAAATTTATTATTAATTGTTATTAATAAATATTATTAGTAATATTTACAATTATTATTATTACAAATTATTAGTTTTATGTGTTATCGTTAATGATGATTATCATCATTAATAATTAAAATTATAATTAAAATAATAATTAATTTTAAAGTCTATTATTATTAATTAAGAATAATTATTCTTATTATTTTATTTACGAATAAAAATTATTATTAATTTTTATTATCATTATACGTAATGTTTAGTTAATAATAATAAGGGTTTTAATCATCTGAACCATTATTATTAATTACTATTATGATTTTAATTAAGTATGATGATAATATATTGTTATTATTATTATTAATTCTTATTAATATTAATTATTATTATTAACTAATAATTAAAATAATATTAACCACTATTACTATAATTTTAGTTATTATTATTTCTAGTTAATAATAATGATGATTATTATTTTAATCATTACTATTATTCATTTATTATTATAATAATAATTTTTATTATTTATTTTAAAAAATAATTTTCTCATCAAAATGGATCTAATCTGATTTGAATGAATATGATCTGAATAAATTTGATGTGATCTGAACTGATCTGAATGGATCTTGATGTGATCTGATTCTGATAAGTATAATCGATAAGTAATAAAAATAAGTTGAAGAGAATGATACCTTAGTCGTATAGTAAGTATTTTGTGTTATTTAGTCATAGACAAAACATTAACTTTGTTTCCAACTTTTTTTATTTGAATGGATCTTGTACATAGTGGCGGAGCCAGAGAAGACTTCGTGGGGGGGCAAAAAATTCATTTAATAAATAAACAAAATTCAGAATAGTAACTACTTTAAATGGCAAAGTGCAACTAAATATACCTTCTATTTGTGTAAAGGGGTAAGAGTTGTTTGAGGCTGGAGAAATTTTTTTCGAGATGCCAACTTTTGAAAACGCTGCATAATAACTTCATCATCAATGCTTCTAAAAATTTCTTTCTCAAAGTAGCACAACATACAATCTGATAAAAGCTCATCTCTCAAACGGTTGCGTAAATCAGTCTTGACAATATTCATGATTTTAAACCACAATGTTTTTCCCTATAGAAGAAGAAGTTTCTGTTTCATTGTCTCTACACTTACAAATTCTAAATTCTTCTTTTGTCTTATAACAAATTTATCCATCTCATGTCTCAAAATTTCCTGATTCAATAATAAAGTAACAAAATAAAATATCAATAACCTTAAAACAACAATTTCATATATCTTAATCTCTAAAACTTGAAATTACATTAACATTTATCAAATATTTAAATATCAATAAACACAATAGAACCACAAAACAAAATAAATATACAAAATTCAAAACATATTTTAGCAATATTAAAATTTTTAAATATTAAGAAACAAATCTCGAAATTGGATAATTAAAATTTACATATAATACCTAGAAGAACAGATGAAGAAGCAGAGAAAAAGAGCTCAAGATTGGAATCTTCCTTCAACCTTCTGCCCTTCTGGTTTCGTCGTTCCATCCTTCGGCCTGCTACCCTATCGCCTTCTGAGTTCAATCGAATAAGCCTTCTGCCTCCGTATTTCTTTTCTTCAATTAATTCCATTTTCTGTTTTTTTAAGGGTAATTGGGCTACTCAACTACTGGGTCGTGGACTGGGTCAAAGAACTGGGCCATTTTAATTTTACAAAACGACGTCGTTTTGTTTCTATTATTTTTTTTCGAGAATTGCTTCTTCCTATCGTCTTCTTCGATCGGCTGGACTGCCCTGGAGTAATCGGCTGCTGCGACAGATCTGGGGGCAAATCCGGCCTCCCATCACTGCCGATTGGTACCGTACTCTAATGCTATTTCGCCGGACTTTCGCCGGGGGGCACTTGCCCAGGCGTGCCCCCCCTCCTCCGCCCCTGAGTTGTACATGCACAAGCAGAGGCGGAGCCAGGGAGGACTTCATGGGGGGCAAAAATTCATTTAATAAATAAACAAAATTCATAATAGTAACTACCATAATTGGCAAACTGTAATTAAACATACCTTCTATTTGTGCAACGGAGTAAGAGTTGTTTGAGGCCGTAGAAAATTTTTCCGAGATGCCAATTTTTGAAAGCGCTGCATAATGACTTCATCATCAATGCTCCTAAAAGTTTCTTTCTCAAAGTAGCACAACAGACAATCTGATAAAAGCTCATCTCCTAAACGGTTGCGTAAATCAGTTTTGACAATATTCATCGCAGAAAAACTCCTTTCCACTGAAGTTGTTCCAACAGGTAATATCAATGCCAATTCTATGAGCCGATATATCAAAGGAAAATATGTGTGATAATTCTTCTCCACCATCTTCTTTGCAAGACTTCCAAGATTGGGAATATTAGCAAAAACTTCATTCGATCTCATATCAGAAATGTAATTTTGAAGTTCATGAATAAGCTCAACTCGATCACTAGAACTAAAATCTTCTGAATATAATGCAGCAAGTTCCAATAGTCGATCTTGATCAAAACTCGCAAAGCAATTAGAAGGATCAAGACACATTACACATCTTAATAAATTTGTATTTGTCTCTGTAAAGTGTCTATCCATTTCCACAGTAAGAATATCAATGACCTAACATCAAATAAAGAATAATTATAATAATCATAATAACTTATTTAATATGTTATGGTATTAAAATACTTCCAAAAAATGATATTAAAATTTAAAATTAATAAGAGTACTATACCTTTGCAAAGATCTCTCCACGAAAATGCACATAATTTGTCATGGGTTCACCACCTACCATCTTCTTTCTTGATCGCCCACGAATATAATCTTCCATGTTAGGTACATCAATTGCATGTTTTTCACAAAATTCACTAACTTCCTTCAAAAAAGCATCCCAACCATGATCTCTAAAATCTTGTAAGTTCTTTTTTACTACACCAATCATATTCAAAGCACAACTAATATTTTGATCTCGTGCTTGTAATATCTTTGATAAGGTGTTAGTCATACCTAGAACTTTTAACATAAACTTTCCAATAAAAACGAACTCAAAAGAATCCATTTTATCAAGAATGCCACTAGCACTGTTTTTAATTTTGAGTGTTTCACCATGCTTGTGTAACGAAGATAGCACTGTACCAATAGCATTCCACATGTCAAAAAGACGAACAAGAGTTTTGTAGTGAGAGCCCCAACGTGTATCACCTGGTCGAGCTAAAAAATATATATCAATAACCTTAAAACAACAATTTCGAAACCTAATTTAGAAATATTCAAAACCTTCAAATATTAAGAAACAAATCTCAAAAATTAAAATTTACATATAACATATAATACCTAGAGAGAAGATGAAGAAGGAGAGAAAAAGACCTCAAGAATGAAAACTGCCTCCGTCTGGTTTCGGTCCTTCAGCAGCCTTCGCCCGGAATCTGGAGTACTGGTCTTCGCCCTTCGGTCTTCCGTGAGTTCCCTCTTCTGCAGTTCAGCAATCGCCAATTGTGTTTTTTGGTTTAATCCTCATCCTCCGTTTTTTAAGCTTTTGGGCATTTAGAGATTTGGGGCTTTGGGCTACTGGCAGTACTGGGCTGTGGGTTGTTGGGCTGGGTTACACAGATTTTTTTAAACCCATTCATCAAAAACGACGTCGTTTTGTCTTCTATTTTTTTCTTCCGCCTAACTTCATCTTCTCCGCTGGACTCTTCCCGTTTGCTGGCTGGACTTCTTCGCTGCGACTGGGGGGCAAATCCGGCGTCTCATCACCGAGGGTACCATAATCCTATTTCGCCGGGGGGCACTTGCCCCGGCGTGCCCCCCCCTCCTCCGCCCCTGTGCACAAGTATCGATTGCTGACCATGTCGGTAACACCGTGTGTCGAAGTAAATCGGATGGGAAAACATGAAAGACCTATGATTTTGACAATGACATAAAGTTTCGATACCACGTAGAAATATGAAATATGTTTAAATTGAATTGAGGTCTTATTAACAAGACAATGTATCTCCTTAAAAAGATAATGTATTAGATCTAGTAATACCCAATAATGCTATTATACGCTAACACATCTAAAGTGATGTGGTTTGTTTAAATTTAGTTTTAATAAAAATAAGTAATAAATAAAAAATATATGTTAATAGAAGTTAGAACGGATCATAACTAGATATATTTGATCTATTTCACTATACGCGATTGGACATCTCCAATCTTTGCATCACAAACCTCTTAATTTCTTATGTGATCTTTAATTAAAATGGTAAAGTTTTATACCATACATTCGGATGTATGATATTTTCTTACATATGCATAAATACTCATTGTCGAGTAACTAAATACTCATTTTCGAGTAACAGAATATTTATTTTCAAGTAATTGAATGCTCATTTTCTAACATAACTGAATTTTAAAGAAATGAGTATTTAGTTACTCGAGTATGAGTATTCATTTGCTCGAAAATGAACATTCAATCACTTACTCGTAAATAAGCACTCTTCGTGGGTGTAAGAAAAAATATCGTACAATCGATTGTATGATATATATTGCGCATAGTTCAAGAAGTTATTGTGCAAAGTTCAAGAAGTTGTTGATCTGTAGTTGGATCGAAGTTTCAGAAGGGAGCAAGTGAATAAACTTCTTAACTTTTATTTACAATAAGAATTCTATATTAAATAAAGCTAAATGATGTATCATTGTAACATACACTCTCCGTTCACCAAAACATTTCCTCCTTCATTTTTTTCCACCAAAAACATCAAGTTTCTATTTAAAAACCATTTTTATTCCAAGTATTTCTTATGCTATTTATCACAACATATTTTTTCAGTAATAATATATCCATCACTTTTTATATTTACTCATCATATCAAAAGCAAAATTAGAAAGTCAATTATAATTTAACCATTCCTTATTTTGGCCTTTGGTCAAAATAAGATCTATAGTGTTGCAATTACGATGTAGTATATCTTCATACTTTTCTTAACCTTATTATGTACAAAGAGCCAATGTTTTCGCCTCCGCTAGTGCTCGAACATGAGTGAACTTTCCCATGAATCTTGAGGATTGCGCTTTCTACTACAATTTTGCATTGTATATTTACATCTTATGATGTTTTTTTGGCAATTCACAATATGATAAATCTTATTTTGATACTACCTCCGTCCTAAAAAGATCAAACCTTATTGTTTTGATTTTTGTGTTATGTAGTGACACTCTTTCACTTTAAATAGTGAAAAAATGCATTTCATTATAATATAAATTAAATATAATTTGGTTCATATTAGGTTATTATTTTGATGTATCAAATTTTTATAATAATTTTTATTTAAATTATATTTAATTTGTAATGAAAAAACTATGATATTTTTGGAGAGAAAAATCAAAGCAAAAAAAAAAGATGGATAAAGTATAAAAATAGTTTTTATTTCAATTCAGTGCATGTAATACTCCCTCCGTTCCTAAATCATTTACACTTTACGTAAAATGGAATAACATTCCTAGTTTTTTCAATTCATTTTAATTATAGATTCGTGTATAAATAAAAGATTAAACTTATATATATATATATATATATATATATGTATGTATGTATGTATGTATGTATGTATGTATGTATGTATGTATGTATGTATGTATGTATGTATGTATGTATGTATGTATGTATGTATGTATATATACCAAAATCTTATTTTTTTAATAAGATCACATTCTCATATGAACCAAAATATATATATATATATATATATATAAACAAATATTTTCGTAATTTTTGAATATTAAAGTGTGTAAATCATTTTAAAAGGGAAGAGTATATTTTAGTCATAGTTTTTTTTTAGTGATATCCACCTATATATGAATGGATTAGGTAACCATACAATCTGAACTAGTGGGAGGTGGAGGAGGTAGTCCTTGGGAGTTCGACTGCAGCAGAGATGCAGCCATAAAAAACATATTAATCAGCTCCGGCGTAGTCATAGATGCCGTCACTTTTACTGCCATCGATCGTAAAACCAAACAAGTCATTGCCACCCAGAAGTTCGGTGGTAATGGTGGCCACACAAGTAGGGTAAAGTCATATGTTCTACCATTCATTCTTTCAAAAAAAAAAAGAAACAATTGTTTTATGCGTACTCCATATTTAAAAAATAGGATTACCTACTATGCGATATAAGTTTTTTTCTTCATTAAATTCAGTTTATTTTATTTTTTTTGTAGATTGATATTGATTGGCCTGAAGAAAAATTGATGATGATTAGTGGAACTACAGGTTCAGGTCGGTACTACATTGTAACTGCGGATGGACCAAAAGATATATGTCTCATTACGTCTCTAGCTTTCCATACTAACAAGAGAAAGTATGGTCCTTATGGTAATGGACAAGGCACTTAATTTAAAACCCCGATAGAGGGTGAAATCGTTGGGTTTTTTGGACGTGCCGGTTTGTTCATTGATGCTATAGGTGTTTATAGCTATGTTTGGTAGAATTTTTCAGAGCGCTTTTGGTGTTTTGAATGAGTATTGATATTGAGTTTGTCTAGGATTCATTGGTTATCATTTTACAAGAACATCACAAAGATGTACACCAAATTGATACCAATTTTTTTGGCATTTTATATTTTTATAGACCTAAATGTTAAATATAATTACTATATTTAATATAATAATATTAATACTATGATAGTTTCCATATTATAACATGATCTAGCTTTCTTTTGTGAATATTGTATTTATGTATTACGATTCCTACCATGTATAGCCCCGGGAATCCACATTATATATATATCCACCTCTTGTAAACACTTCTTGATTATTATCGAATATATGTAATTCTTCATTGTATCAGAGCCGTATTAATTTTTGTTAATTACGACGACCATCTTTCCCCTTGGTAGTCTCTCCCTTTCTCCTGTCGTGCATCCCCGGCGGCTCTCTCTCTCACCCTCCCTTGCCGACGACTCCCCCCTTCACTATGGCCGACACCTCTTCTACAACCACCACCATGCCTACCTCCACCAATCCCCCAATTCACCCCATCTTGCTTTTAGGGCAATCTCCAATATCAAACTTCATATTCCGATTCAACTCAGTATATCGGAACCAAACTACAAAAAATGGACCCGACTATTTCTCCTATACGATACTTCAACCTTCATGGCTACCTCTCCGACGATACCTTTCCGACCGGAGCCGAAGACATAGAATGGGTTCAATTTGATGCCCTTTTCCACCATCTCCGATGAAGTTTCCGATCTGGTCCTCACATCTTACTTTATTGCTATCGATTTGTGGAAAGGGATTTACCACCTCTTCCATGACAACATGGTGGCTCGTGCTATGCAGCTCGAGCAACGTTTGCGGACGACCACCAAAGCCGCACCAAATCCATGGCGCATTATTGTCAAACATTGAAAAATCTTGCAAATTGTCTTGAAGATGTGAATGCCCTAGTCACAGAATGAGCGCTGGTTCTTCAACTTCTTCGAGGCCTTCCCAAAAATCTCCGAGTACATGTCACCTTTCTTCAGAATTAAGTCCCGTTCCGGACATTCCTCAAAGCCCGATCTGACGTCCTTCTCCTCGAACAAGACCAAATGGATTTGGACACCACTGATGCAGGATCCACGGCTCTGGTTGCTGCTAGTAATTAGACAAAAGTTCAACTCTAGAGGGGGGTGAATAGAGTTATTCGGTAGAATGTGCGTTTATCGCGTGTGTGATAATGAAAGAAAATCACAGGAAATAATAAAGAGTAAGGGAAAGGAGTACACCATGATTTAAACTGGTTCACCACCTCGTGACTAGTCTAGTCCTCCGAGAGACTCTCTCGAAGGTCCTACTAAACTTCGAGCTTCAACGGGTGCTTGAAAAACCGATACCACTCGAGAACTTGAATCACACAAGCCTCTACTTCTTATAATAACAAGACTTGAGTCGTCGCACAAGTCTTAACAACAACAAGACTTGAATCACACAAGTCTTAGCAACACTCAAACAAGATTGAGTTTACAACACAGGAATGAAAGCTCACACAATTGAGCAAGTAGTGTTTGAAAGATTAAAGCTCTTTGGATGACAAGATCTTTAGCACTCAATAAAAATATTTCCAACCAATACGTCAAAAACAGAGGCTGACAACTGTTTATTTTAGTAGTCTAAAGTTGATTTTTTCTGTAGTCTTCCGAGCAGCTATCTGATGGGATGCTAGACCTCGGTTTAGAACTGTTGTGCAAATCCAAATCTGACACCGGTGTTTTGTAGCTTAACACAACTTTGAGTATTTGTGATCTGCTCGTGATTGAGCCTACGATTTTGTATATACTCAGACAACAGTTTTATTGTGTTGTTTGTAGAATTTCAGACAACTACTTAAAAACAACTGTCTTAATTAATTGTATATGGATTATTACGACAATGGTTTATTGTAGTTGGGATTGATGCGGTTACACTATGTTTTCCAAGTGTAGTCTAATGTTCTATTAGACAGCTGCTCGGAAGACCACTATAAGTAATTCCATTAAACCTCTGCTACCTTCTGTTGTATATACAACGTTGAGACTATTACTTTGGTCTTACCTTAAACAACTTTTTTGTTTGGTTGTATGCCATCTATTAACACTCCCGTTTTTGTTTGTTGTCCTTTAAACATTGACACTATACTTTTAAACAGTAGTTGAATCTGCTACCAGACAGCAGCTCGGAACACCACTATAAGTATTTGCTTCAAACAACTATTGCGTTGGGTTGTATGTATGATGTTCAGAATATTATTTTGGTCTTATCTTAAACAACTATTTGTTTTAGTTGTACGACATGTATAAACAGTACTGTTTTGGATCGTTGTCGTACCACCCATTCAAACAATATTTTGGGAGAGTAGTCAAAATTGTTATCAGACAACTGCTTGTAACACCATTGAAAACATTTGCATTAGAGAACTGTTTTTTTGTGGTTCATTCCACACAATTGCGAGTAGCAGATGTCTAGCAGCTATTACCTCTACTAGTTTATATAGTTGTCCGTAAAATATTTGTAATATGAACTTAGTAAGGTTTTTTATCAGTCAAGCGTTTTTTTGTGTTGACTATCATGATCAGAGGCTTCTGTTTCATGTCGTTGTGTTGCAGATATTCAAACTATTGTCATTTGGTGTTGTGCCTCAACTATTCAGAGTACTGTATTTGGTGGATGACCATGTTTGTTGCATTCTAATACAGTGGTCGTTCAATAAATCATACAATAGAAAGACTGATCAAGAAAGACTGATCAGAAAAGAAATATAAATTCCCAATACATGATTCAACAATCTAACAAAATAAAACATACAACCAAAGTCCAAGGGTAGAACCATTCAAATGGCATTATGACTCATAAAATACTTTGCAAATTCGACATTTGTTTGATTGATGTCATCCTCGGTGTATTCCAGATTTCCCCGACGTGCCCACTGAAAATCGTAGAAAACAACCAAATATCTAATTAGCCAATCATAGAAGTGAAGTAAATTCCAAAAATATAGGATGCAACACATAAGAACTGATTTGTATGAAGTACATTATTCATGAAAACCAACACTAGAGAACTGACCAATAATTAATACTCAAACCTTCACTTGCATTGAGTAGCACACATTATTAGTGAACTAGAAGAGGCTCTACTTAATCTTAAAGTCTCTTCTGATTACAAACATCAGAACTGTACACAACACATGGCTTGTCATGTTCTTTTAATGTATTGTATAGGGGGATAGTCTTTACCTTTCACCCACAAAAACAAATATGATGCATCAACCATTCTTTATTTTAAGCAGTTTGAGTATAAAAAAATAGAAGAAGAGCATCATTTTGCATATATTATTACTTGCGCATATAAACAGTTGATATGCTGCATCATATTAAAATATAAAACAAAGGAAAAAATAGCTTTTATGAAATTCAAAACCCTCCAGCTTCACAAAATAAAAATACTCTGTACAGCGCTATCTTAGCTTCAACTTAAATCTGTGTAAAGAGCATGTAGCAGAACTTGCATTTATCTAGAGATTCAAACTATAAAACACACTCCTAAATGATACACGGATGCAAAGAAGCACTTAATAGAGAACACTCCTAAAAGCAACAAATCAAACTTTGCAATTCAGTAATGGTATGATAGCATACAATACAGTAAATATCCCCAGAATAAGAGAAAGGCACAATTACCGTGAAGCAAAAGAAACAAGAAAAACTACATTTAAGACAACAATATTACCTTTGAAGCAAATTGAACCTCCTTATCATGACAGATCTCTTTCATGTATCGCATTACAAACAAGCCACAGTCTATATTCCCTTTTTGCATCGGGGTGCCCTAAAAACAAAAATATAAAGTACGTAATACAACACTTCTCATTCAACCTGCATTACATACCAAAAAATAAGAATCATATAATACTGCCATGTTCTCCCAGGACACTTTCTTCTTCAACATAGGTTTGTTCATGGTACTCTTGTACAAAACTATAGCACTATAAGGAAACCAAAAAAGATAATTCGAAAAATGTTATAAGCAAAAGTGATAGCAAATACCAAAGATTTTTGTTCATTGAGTGACTACTTACTTATCAACTACTTCAGTCCACTCCTGACTATCTATACACCATTTAAGGGGGTCCATGTAGTACACTACCTCTTCATTAGGTTTGACAACAGTCAAAGCCCAATGATTCCTACAAATAAAAACATATATGAATTACGACATTCACACGAACTTAAAGTAATTTGCATTTACAGAAGTGCATTAACAAAGCATTACAATGCAAATTGAATATTAACTTCACATTGAAGAAACAATTCAGAACATCAGTTCTTGACATGAACCAATTAAAGATACTCACACGTCATTGAACGGTATTAGAAAGTGTTGTCCATCACAGGCCCCCTTAAAGCGATCAACAAGCTTGCATGACCTCTGCCCTATGTTCCCACATGCAAGCGTCCCTATCATGCTGGGATCCAAGAAAGAGATCATCTGAAGCATTTTGTTCTTTTTCACAAGCTCATACAGGCAGCTACAAGGGTAACTACTTGATAGTTATGTCACTTGTCCATAAGAATATTATATCAAAAGGCTTTTAACTATTAAAATAAAATCTGTGTGATGACATTCTTACTGGATGTATATTGCAATTATGCTTCCTGCCATCTCACCACGAGCGCACAGAGCATGTATATCTGTAGAATTTTAGAATTGAATGACTTGTTTGTGGATACAATCTACATGTGTATATATACAACTATAGTTTCCAAAACATATTAGGAAACATATATGGAGTCCTACTTCTACAAGGAAACAAATTAAGATGAGATATGTACAAACATATTCCAATACGCCCCCTCAAGTTGGAGCATGAAGATCAATAATGCCCAACTTGGATAGCAGAAATCGGAAGAGTGGGCCAGAAAGTGCCTTTGTAAAAATGTCAGCAATCTGAAGACGAGTAGGAACGTAGGCCGTAACGACGTGCTGACGGAGGAGACACTCACGAACAATATGGCAATCAATATCAATGTGTTTGGAGCGTTCATGAAATACGGGATTGGCAGCAATGAATAATGCAGATTTATTGTCACAGTAGAGCTTGGGGATGGCGACGCACGGCACGGATAGGGCTCCAAGAAGGCCGCGGATCCAACGAAGCTCAGCACAAGCGTTTGCCATGGCTCGATATTCTGCTTCAGCCGATGAGCGTGACACAGTTGTTTGTTTCTTGGAACGCCATGAGATCGGCGAACCTCCAAGGAGGATGAAGTAGCCAGTAACGGATCTCCGTGTAAGGGGACAACTTGCCCAATCAGAGTCGGAGTAAGCGGTGAGAGCCAGGTTGCTGTCACTGCGGAGGAGAATGCCTTGACCAGGATGTCCTTTAAGATAACGAAGAACACGGAGTGCGGCATTGAGATGATCCAAA